ATTAGGGTGGCTCAAAAAAAATCGATCTTCGAAATGTTTATGAGATACCTCATAAATGTATTATATACATTAAAATAAACATTTTATGAAAATTTGAGATTAAAAAAAAAATTTTTACAGGTCGCTCAACGCGTTTTAAGAAAATTGACCAAAAATACTCAAAAAAACATAAAATGTCATTATTTATTCAATTTTTGTTCAAATTTCTTACTTAGTACATCTAAATTGTTCGTTTTCTAATGCCGAATAATAATAATAAGAAAAAAAAAATTGTAAGTCCAAAATTGATTGCGTAAAGTCCATAAAAAGCTCAAAAATATGGTTAAGTTCAACAAACACTGAAGTAAACCAAAAAAATTTTTTTTTTCATTTTTTTTTTTTAATTTGATTAATATTTGTGTGTATTTTAAGAGGAAAAAATTTTTTCCACTAATGTTTAAAACTACTACCTTTTTTTTTAGATTAGAACGTACGCTAGAATATACGATGTACATAAAAATAAATGAAAATATCGTCAAATTTTACTGTTTCCTTTTTACATTTTTTTATTTTAAAATTTGGCATTAGCTATATATACATACATATATATTTATAATTATAAAAATAAAAATAATTTTTTTTTTTTTGTCACCAATGTTGATTTTTTACAATCGGGGTACTCATTCTAGACAGAATAAACGTATCTAGCCGAAAAGCCACGTATATTTTGGCGTCTGCTTTAACTTAGTGTGATAAAAATATTAATGATTATTCGATAAGTAAAGATTGAATTCAAAGAGCTCGTAATTTTAATAGAAAAATTATAAATAATGAAATAATAAAATAATTCAAACCAAACACCGCTTTAATGGTTCACTGGGACGGAAAAATGTTGCCGTCTTACAACAAAAAAAATTACACTGAACGTTTAGCGGTATTAGTATCTGGTGATGGCAAAACTAAACTTTTGGGAGTGCCTAAACTTTTAAATTCTACAGGCAAATCGCAAGCTGATGCCGTTATTAAGCTTTTGGTTGATTGGAATTTAGTTAATCAAACAAATATGATATATTTTGACACTACTGCCTCCAACACTGGAAAACTAAATAGTGCATGTATTTTAATCGAAAAAAAATTAGGTAAGGAATTATTGAGTTTAAATCGTCCTGAGGATGATTTAAATTTAATTTATGTTCACAAATTTAGAAATTATGTCTATATTTGGTGCTAATATCTTTAACACAACATCATCTGTCAACATATTAAAGTATAGTTTTTTGTCTATATTTTCCCAGCTATTAGAAAATCTTTTGAATAGAGCTATGTCTGGGCCAGATGATGGAGGCATTAATTTACCAAAAACTCTCCTAATTATTATTTCATGTATATGGTGCCTACAAGCAAAACTCATATATATTATATATATATAAATATTAGTGGACGCCGTTTATTAGATTCATTCCGGTCTAAACTTTAAACTTTAACCATTCGGTTAATGGACTCAAATGGTCAGGTCCCAAAGTGAGTCCAATAAGCGGCGTCCACTGTATTAATAAAACCTATTGACTGTATCTGTTAGAAAATTAATTTTCACTATATTTCTTAGATTATTATAAATTGGATTTTAATAAACAACGGGCTTGCTCAAAGTATGTTCCNTCAGAAAAAATCAGAAAAAAATTTGTCCAAAGTCCGCGGCGTCAGTGTAGGCACAACACGTGGTAAGAGTTCCCACTCCAGTTCCGGCGCATTGCAGTCACCTGTCATTGTTTATTTTGATTAGTCAGTGAATGGGTCCCGGTCCCCATTAATTCGGATAATTGGAGTTCTACTGTATTTCTTAGATTATTATAAATTGGATTTTAATAAACAACGGGCTTGCTCAAAGTATGTTCCGGTTAGCAAGAATGCGAATGATCGCAGTTTTCAAATATCCATCCCTAAATTACTCACTCGTATAATGGATGAGCATGAAAATTATTTCATAATTTATAAATTAAAAAAAACATAAGTAATATTTCTAATATATTTTTTGAATTATTAAGTGATCAATGATAAAAGTATCATACTATTATTAGATATTATGCTATCAATAACTGTTGTATTGATATTTAATTAAAACAAGGTACTATGGCAAAATTCCAAAAACTAATATTTTTTATTTATTATTGTTTATTTAAAAATTATTTACTTCTTTAATTTCTTTTAGGGGTTTTGCATTATGCCAATCTCTAATATTATTTATTGCAGATAAATACTGTGCTTTAATTTTAGAATGCATGTTCATATTATTTTCCATTCCTTCATATTTTCCAACATACTGTGAGTAATCACCATTAAAATGTCTATTCCATCCAGACCATGCTATATCTAGGCTGTAGAAAAATTGTGTACTTTTAAGTCTTAGAAAACATTTTTTTATAAACTTGTATATTAAAAATATAGTTTAAAAAAACTAAAAAACACGCTTTTAAAGCACATCGAACTAAAAAGTTAAAAATAATTCATAAAATAAACTTGAAACAATAATGAACGAAAAATACTAGTATTATTGTGATAAAAGCGGGCGCTCAATATACGAAAAATATGGCACAAAGCACCCACGCTTTTATCACAATAATACTAGTATTTTTCGTTCATAATTATTTTAAAAATTATTTTTAACTTTTTAGTTCGATGTGCTTTAAAAGCGTGTTTTTTTAGTTTTTTAAACTATATTTATTTTTTACTTTTTAGTTTCATGTTATGATAGTAGTTACTATCAATATCATGGTTGTAATGGGTAACGGGAAATCAGGGTTCGATTCCGGAGAGGGAGTCTGAGAAACGGCTACCACATCCAAGGAAAGCAGCAGGCGCGTAAATTACCCACTCCCGGAACATGGTGGTAGTGACGAAAAATGACGATATGCGGGAATCATCCTTTGTAATCGGAATGAATACACTCTATATCCCTTAATGAGAATAAAGCGTATTATTATATAAGTTTTAATAGTAATTAGAATATATATATACATGTAAAGCGACTTAACTACGTAAACGTATCATGCACGAGGTATAGCTGTGTTTTGTGGGCGGGCGAGGCGCGGGGGAACGTTGTACGCGAGGCATATGAGGTGGCTGTAGGAATATATATAAATATATACACATACATACATATATATAGTAAGGCGACATAAATATGTAAACGTATCCTGCACAGGGTATAACCGTGTTTTATGGACGGGGGAACGTTATACCTAAGGTATAAACGGCGGCAGCGGCGGTAGGAATACATAAATATATATACGTAAGGCGCATTACATGCAGGTGGTATTGGTCAGTCAAAATAAAAATTTGTTTATATATATATAATTAATGTCACGCACGCTTGTACGAGTACGAAAACCAAAAATATAAAATTATACAGGATTAGTGTTGCCGGCGATTGGTGAGCGGGGCGGGGTGAATGCGTTACGACAGTATAGTCTCAAGGTCATACACGACGCGATACGCGACATAATAACACGGCCGCCTGGAGTTACAAACTTGCAAACGACAAACAACATACATATGAAACTAATATAAGCGTGTTAAAAAAAGATAGATAATTGTCTTCAATCTTACTGATCGACATTTTATTGTAATTTATACATTTTTAAAAAGTTTTAGCAAAAAAAATATCAATTTTATGAAATTTTATTTTATTTGAATCAATTTTCGTTTACATAGTAAAATATGAATTAATACTTACTCCCTTTTAAAATTACCAGATGTTCCATAGCATGTATGAAGTATTATTATTAATGCGAATAAAATCATTTGAATCATTTTTTTATCGTGAGCTGTACAAATTGTCAATTTTATCAATTAAAGAGTAATTTTAGTACAAAAGTTATATATCATTTAAAATATTGAAGTTTTTAATTATTTAACAATTTATACATTTATTAAAGTTACTTATATTATATTATTATTCTTTATTTTACATTAATAGAATTGTTAAATAGAGAAGCGAAAAATTTATTATAGTCATTACCAATATTTGTACAAAAAACATATTAAAATCAGTAAATAACAGTACAATTCTTGTCTTTATAATAAAATATTATAATAAAGAATTATGATATGATATAAATTTAGATTATTATTATTGAAAATGTATAATTTATTTTTTCTAGACTATCTCTTTTTATACAATAAGGATTTTAATGATTATTTTATTATTTTACTCTATCTATGAATTTATGATACTCCCATTTACCATAAAAAAATATTGGATAAAAACGAAGGAAAAACTCAATATTTTGTTGAAATTTATAATACATACATTTGTATAAAATAAAATGTAGGCATTTATATATATTAAGGTATTTTTAGGATCGCGTTTAGAATTCGCGATTTTGGAAATTCTATGGAACGAGAAACGTTGTAGAAGTTTTTATTATTTAAAATTTGTCAATTTCAGTAAAAGATCAAATTTATCTTCTATTATTATATAATCTTGACTTTTAATTTGCGTTTTTATACATTCTATTTTTTTTTTAAATCATTATTTTTATCAAACTTATATGGTTAACTTTATATTATTGTTTTTTACAAAAAGATTACATATATTTTACCTTCGATGCGAAGCTGAAAAGATATTAATTTTACTATGATGTGTTTTTTTTTTGATGTCTGTTACCATTTTTTCTCAGCTCTCACTGAACCGATTTCTTTCAATGATACGTCAAAAGATCACAAATCGTATCTAGTCAAAAAATTTCCCTCAAAAATTGAAAACAATTCCCTCATTTCCTGTATATGTGGGAAATCACCAAAAAATTTACAATTTTAAAAATCAGTAATTTTTTAAACATTTTCTTCTTTAAATTGCTATAGATTTTTAAAAAATGAACAAATCAACATAATTTTTTTATTTATAAATACCTTAGATATTTAGTAAATATTATTAATAATAGGTAAATATTATTTAACTATCATTTGGTATATTTTTGTGAAAATTTGACTCTTTACCTGCTCGCAGGAGGGGTTTTAAAATGGCAAATTTTCCAAAAATAATTAACATTTTTAACTAAAATTTTTTTTTGATTGTTAACTCTTTTTCTCAGCTCTCATCGAACCGATTTATTTTAACGATACGTCAAAAGATCACAAATGGTATCTAGTCGAAGACATTACCCTCGAAAATTGAATATATTTCCCTTGTTCCCCGTAAATAGGGGAACCCTCCAAAAAAATTACAAATTTAAAAATCGCTTATTTTCGAAATTTTTTCAATTTTTTTACTTAAAACTGCCATAACTTTTTCAAAAATGAACAAATCAATAAAATTTATTTTTATAGATGCTTGATGGATTTACCTATTATTTGGTATATTTTTTTTATAAATCTGACCCTTAACCTGCCCACAGGGAGGGATTTAAAATGACGACTTTTTTACAAAAAATTAACTTTTTTAACTTAACTGTTGAAAATGTTCCGGAAAGTCTGAAACTTTTATATATATTTTAAATTAATTCTAATGTAATATACTTTATTATGAAAAAAAAAATTTCGGACTTTATTTTGTCTTCATGGTGTAAATGGCTACCAAATGCTATTATTTTGTGAAAATTCTCAATTTTATTTTTTACATTTTTAACTTTATAACTTATTGAAAAGTGTATTGATGAATACAATTTTTTTATGAGAAATAATATTTTTTAATAATCTCTTTTTCATTCGACATACTTTATCTTAATCAGGATATTAATAAGGAACTAGCAGATCATTTAACTTTTGGAATAATCCAACAAATTTTTAAAATTAAACACTATCTAAAGATTTGCATCGAAGCGTTTTTTTTTTTTATAGTAATTTTAATCACTGTCAGATATCATTATACTTGATTCGACTATGGCACGTCACCACTGTGCCGCGACCCCCCTGTACTGGCTTTTTTATATTCATATAATCACGGTCCATGTCAAAGTACCATCATTTTCATCTATATTTTCTTATCTTTTTAAGTGTGATTATTTAATAGATCATATTTTTTATTTAATATTGTATATTCCAAAATTATATTATAAGTAATTATGTGATAAATTTAATTGTTCTAATAATTATCTGTTACTTTAGTGGAAACATTAAGTATATTTTACGATTTATTAAGTTATAATTAAGACATCGAAAATTGGGTTCATTCGTGAATAGCCTCAAAAGACGAACACTTTTATCGTAATGGCTTTCGAGCTCTATCAGATAGATGGGAAAATTTTGTAGCTACAGAAACGATACCAACGCCTGTCGGTACTTGTATCACGAAGTACCCAACTACTATGCGTGGGACAACTACGAAAAGTTATGGCGTTTGCGCCAACGCGTCCAGACATATCCAACACATCGAGAGAATGTACGCGGATAGTCCTTGCGACAGAGAGAGTTTCTCCTTGAGAACGTTATTGCTGTACCGCAGGGGACCGGCCCGTTTTGAAGACCTGAGAACGGTTAACGGTACGGTATACCACACCTACGCCGAAGCCGCGACGGCTCTGGGCATTTTGCGAGACGATCACGCGCGGAGGGCGTGTATGCGAGAAGTTCTTCCGTGCAAGACACGGCGCATCAGTTGAGATGTCTGTTCGACACAATAGTCTTACATTGCTCGGCCAACGACCCGCCGAGACTGTACAACAAGAATAAGGTATGACGACATCTCGACATTACATACGTATAAATCATTTATTAATGACGTATGACAATTACAATAATCCATCGACGATTTATAGGACCGTGGAATGGTAGTCCGACTTCGTTTTTTTAAATTTGCATTGCGATAGTGTTCTTTTAGTGCGAGTTAATTTTTTGCAAATACCTACACGGTTCAAAATGATAAAAGCCATTTTTTCACGGATAAGACAATTTCCAACGATAATGATGATTATAATTATTATTGTTGTTGTTGTTATTATTCTTACTAATAACGATAATTGACATATTAATATTAATCGTATATAATGATGATATATGTAAATAAATAGGGCGGTACACCACCGAACGAATCTCATCGAGTTTTAAATTAAACATTTATCTAATGCGCGATAGTAACGAGTCGTCCTTAGCGCTTTTCCACAACAGCGAAAATAAGTAGATTCAACGCTATTGCAACACTGTGACTTTTGATGCAATTTGACTGGTAAATTGAAATTTTCTACATCAATTCGATATTATTTGTAACGTTAATTTACGTGTTCATTACAAATATCTTTTCATTGTTATAGTTGATGTTTGGTCGTAGAACAATATTCATTGACTTCAATAGTGTTCGATCCCCATTTATAAATTCATACAATTTCAATATACAGAGTGATCCAAATGTAGAAAAAAACATTGCAATAAACTGAATAATCAAAATATCATTACAAATAATATAGTTATAGGGTGCTATAAATGTATTAATATTACAATTTGAGAATACGCAGTAATCTAAAAAAAATTTGAGTGTATAAAGTGTCGTAATATGCACAATGTTCTGCATTACGCATCTTACATTATCAATAAAAAATTATTACTCTATATTTAATACCAATTGTATACAACACAAATAATTAATTTATCTGTCATAACATATACACATTTGTACATTAGTTATTATATATGTATATACATGTTAAATTGATTATTTTATACTATGCATCTTATCTTAAAAATAATTATCATGTTATGTTCAAATTTTTCACAATAAACTGAAAATCACTAAAAGCGCTGACGGCAACAACCCATGATGGGGGTAATTAAAAGTAATATAAAAAGGCGCTGATTTTCTAAGAGAGCGGAATTCTCTCTTCCTTTTGAAGACCTGAATTCAATAAGGAATTCAGAATTCTTCTATTTGATTTTGAACAAACTAGCCGCGACCCCGTGTTGTCGTCGGTACATTTTAAAGCGATATTGAATACAATTATTTTGCGTTAACACTTTATTTATTTAAAAGAGATATTATAAATATTTACGCAAACCTTGACGATCTTTGTACAAGCCAAATAAAAAAGTAAGTAAATTTATATTAACCTAATTATTTGAATTAATAATCTGAGTAAAGAATGATAAAGCAATAGATCACATATTTATATTCAAACTTTATTAATTGTTACTGACTAGTTCGTACCTTATACGTAATCACATTACATGGTATTCGTGAGATGGCCACCGCCTCTTCGTTGCCTCAGTGTATTATTTCAGGTACTTACCAGTTAGTTCATTTGTAATATCTCTATAGAGAAACTTTAATAAATTCTTTTTATATCTACTTGTCTTTATTGTTCTAAACCCTCGGACTCTACAACCCCGATAGAACCTCGTTGCTCCTGAATTGACCAAATCCCTAACATCCAACATTGGTCAAATTAAATTACCCAAATACATAGTTTTTGCTTATTTTTTGTATTACTACAAAAGTGTTCTAAATGTAAAAACAAAAAAGTTGCCATGGACAAAATTACCCAATTTCCATTACTAATTATATATCTGTTGAGTTATATGAATGAATAAAGCTTATAAATTTAAAAATTAAGTGTAATCTAAATAAAATTTTTAAAAATCAGAATAACACAGAGTGATCCAAATGTAAAAACAAAAAAAATTGTCAATATAAAGAATGATCTAGATATAAAAAAAAAAGTTGCAATAGACAGAATTACCCAAAATCATTAACATTAATATTAATGTGCTATTAATGAATAAATCGTATAAAATTGAATATACACAGTAATATAAATATACAATTTATAAAAATTTGATTATACAGAGTGATCTAAATATATAAAAATAAATATAGTTTAAAAAAAACTAAAATAACACGCTTTCAAAGCACATCGGACTAAAAAGTTAAAAATAATTTTTAAAATAATTATGAATAAAAAATACTAGTATTATTGTGATAAGTTTTAATAGTAATTAAAATATATATATACAGGGTGGCCCACCACTCACTGACAACTTAAATAACTTTTGATCCAGTTAATATTTTTAGTTGATTTTTTTTTAAATAATAGTTATACGTTAGGTCTATACCTATATCTCAATAATTAATTTTTTTACATTTTATTAAAAATATTAATTATTTTTAAATTTTAAATAAAATGTAAAAAAAAAATCTAAGATAGCTATTTTGTAGAATAAAATTTAAGAAAAATTTTAGTAAAAAAATATCTTATTAATATTCAATAGTAAATATTCTGTAGCGTTTTGAAGTTTGTGAAAATTTGAATTTTCATGTATTATTTTACGGTATTAAACATTGAAATACGTATTGAGAAAAGGACAGAAGAAAACGCTATCTTTTCATGATTACTGTGTATACATATGATGATAATGTGTATACATTACAAACTTGGCATTAATACCATGATAAGAAATTAGATAAGGCAATTATTACTTATCACTCTCATTCAAAAGTATATTGAAAAGATAGCGTTTTCTTCTGTCCTTTTCTCAATACGTATTTCAATGTTTAATACCGTAAAATAGTACATGAAAATTCAAATTTTCACAAACTTCAAAACGCTACAGAATATTTACTACTGAATATTAATAAGATATTTTTTTACTAAAATTTTTCTTAAATTCTACTCTACAAAATAGCTATCTTAGATTTTTTTTTTACATTTTATTTAAAATTTAAAAATAATTAATATTTTTAATAAAATGTAAAAAAATTAATTATTGAGATATAATTATAGACCTAACGTATAACTATTATTTAAAAAAAAAATCAAGTAAAAATATTAACTGGATCAAAAGTTATTTAAGTTGTCAGTGAGTGGTGGGCCAACCTGTATATAAAGTATTTATAAAATAAATTTTATCTTGATCTACACATTTTTCAAAAATTTATAACAATATAAAGTCGAAAAAATAAAATATGAAATCAAAACTTTTAACACAAAAGTAGTATGAATATTAAATACAACAGATATTATAAGTCGCCAGAACAATTTTTTTTTTGAACTAATAGTACATAAAAGATATAAAAGTATATGTATCTTTTATTAACATATGTTTAATACTCGGAGTAATCCCGTAACATTTTCAAAAGTTTAGTTCAAAAAGATAAATTTTTGTCCAAATGTTGCTATTTTGAATCCATCTCTCTGGGCAGTTAAAGGGTTAGATTTTCAAATAATTTATACAAAACGAAAGGGAAATACCTAAGGTAATTATATAAAAAAAATTGTTTTGATTTCGTTAATTTTTTAAAAGAGTTATAGTAATTTTACAAAAAAAACAACAAAAACGTTTTAAAATCAACATTTGTTTGAGGATGTCCCACATTTAATGGAGACAAGAGAAATTTGTCCAATTTTTAAGGGTTGGCACGTTGGCTGCTATATAAATTAAAAAAATGTTTGCATCCCTCTTACTACCTGTTTTTTAAATCTTATTTAACAGATCGTTTTTTCCAAATACGTCTTGGTTCTTCAGTATCTGATGTAGCCTCTCTAAATGCGGGAGTTCCAAAAGAGGTAGCCTATCTCCAATCCTTTTTAATATCTATACCTCAGACCAACCCACAACTCCTAACACCATTATTGCAGATTATGCTGACGACAAAACTATCTTGTCTTGTAACTCTGACACTCAAATTGCATCCGACAACTTGCAGAATCATCTATACCTAATGGAAGACTGGTACACAAAATGGAGATTTAAAATTAATCAATCAAAATCAGTTTATACTACCTTTACTCTAAGACTTCTCCCTTGTCCTGGTGTCTCCCTATATAGAGTATAAATTCCCTCCTCTTCCTCGGTCAAGTATGTTGGTCTCACATTAGATAAACGGCTCACGTGGGCTCAGCACATTAAAATTAAACGCTCGTCTTTAAATAGCCTTCTGCGGTTACTTAAAACATTAATCATAAACAATAAATTTACATACATTAATATTAAACTTCTAATTTATAAATCTCTTTTAAAGCCCATATAGACTTACGGACTTCAGTTATGGGGCAATGCTAAAAAATCAATACCAATAAAATTCAATGCTTTCAAAATATTGTCTTAAGAAACTAATCAATGCACCTCCTTATATCTCTAATTATACACTCCATAACGACCTTAACTTAAAAACAGTCCACGAAGAAGCCATCTTCTACTATAAAAGATTCCACATTAAATTACTCTCCCACTATAATCTCCTAATAAAAAACCTCTCAACCTTGTCCATACCTGGAGACCCACCCAGACGTTTAAAACGTAAGTGGTGCCGTGATCTTCATTTTAATAATATCAATTAATATTAATATAATTAAGTCATTGGAAATATAAAATATAAATTTAAAAAAAAAAAAAAAAAAAAAATCATGGGAAGTGTCACTAATGAATAGTTTCTTCCATCAAAATGTATTCATGTAAATTTTTCTACTCTTATCGTATTTGCTTATAGTGCTCATTGTACAGATTGTATATTTCTAATAAAAAAAAATTAAAAAAATTTTTAAGGGCAATGTGTTCAAGTAAATACGATTTGTGATTTTTTAACAAAACTATAAAACACAAATCGAACGCATGAATTTAAATAACATACACGTGTTAAAAGAATGCATATTACAAATAAGTTATTAGAGTTATTCAGAGTCTTATTTTTAGCTTTTTAGAATTTTTTTTTTTTAAAGAATCATTAACATATAAATTGAGAAATTTTAATTTTAATCGTTAAATTATAATAATGTGATGGACAATTTTTCACAAAGATTAAAGTAGTTATAATTAGATATTAATATTAATTGGTTTTTGTTAATCATCAAAAACCAAGTAATAATCTATTGAACATTTAGTTTTCTTTCTTTTCGATAATGAGATTTTTTTTTGAAGAAGATCTCATAAGTTTTCGGACATATGACTCGAGTTCGTATTTAATTACATTTTGGTCGCGTTTTTTTGTTTCCTGAAGAAATTCGAAGTAACCATCATGTATCATGATTTCAAGATTTCTAGGTGTTATATTTTCTTTATATTTTCCCAATATGCATGGCATAGGATGTATTACTGCTACAATAACATAAAATTTTCCATCTACTTTTTCACCATCAATTATAATTTCATTTTTTTTTGCCACACCAATTCCTATGTTAATGGCATTTTTCCAAATCATTGTAGTTATAGGTCCAAACCAATTTTTTTTATCATCTATATAAAATCATATAGCTTAGCAAATAAATAATAATAAGCTTATAAATGTAAAATTATTTAACCATAATTCAATTTTCATAAACGAAAGTTGGTCATCAAAATATGACGATAAGTAAACCGTAATAAACCGAATCTAAACTTTTGACCAAAATGAGCTTTAATTTAAGATATATATAAAAGTGTCAGAGTTTTCGGAACACTTTCAAAAGTTTAGTTGAAAAAGTTAATTTTTTGTGAAAAAGTTGTTATTTTGAATCCCTCTTTGTGGACAGGTAAAGGGTCAAATTTATAAAAAAAATATGATTTTAAAAATTGTAATTTTTTTGGAGTTTTCTACCATTTACGGGGAATGAGAGAATGTTTTTCAATTTTTGAGGGTAATATTTTCGACTATAAACAATTTATGATCTTTTGACGTATCGGTTCTGTGACAGCTAAGAAAAAGTGGTAACTGACACAAAAAAAAAATTAAAAAAACACATAGTAAAATTAATACCTTTTTAGCTTCGCGTCGAAGCTAAAATACGTCTATAATCAACAAATTATATAAGTATAATGAATTGCATGGATATGTGCATGTGTGGTGTGTGACAGCTGATCGGCCGGCAGTACAGATAACTTACACTACTATTGTAGTGGGAATCATTGTATGTTAACAGTATGAATCGGTCCAAGTATATACTCTCTGTTAATAACTATAATGTTTTTATATTTTTATAATGTTAATATTTTCAAAACTTCCCTAAAAATTATTTACCTATAATTTTTTATTTATTATTATTACTTACTTTTAATCATTTCATCCTCATTTGCTTCAAAATCAAAAGGCTCACCGTCTTTATCAATATTTCTATATAATTCATAAGGTACTTTTTTTCCTGCGTCATTAGAAACTCTAGAAGATGTGATCAATATTCCAAAAACTGAATTGAATTTATCACATTGTCCTGTTCTAGCTCTATAATTTGCACATGACTGTGCAAAAACATCCAACTAAAATTTATATTATTATTAAAAACGTTTATACACTAGTAATAAAAATGATAGTTTTAAAATAGAATATTGCAGCTCTTTTAAGTAAGTGTTCAAAAATATATGTAGTATAATAAAATATATGACCATTATTAGGAAGTTATTAACATTTTTATACTTAAACGAAGAGTCAAGTGCGGCTTGAAAATGTTTAGTGATGAAAATTGCAAAAACCGCGTTTCACCTGTTGATGGTGAAACCGGGTTTTGTTGAGTAATTGTTGAAATTACTTTAAATTGTTAAAAGATTTATAAAAACAATTCAAATAGTTATTCGATAGCTTAAATTATTCGAAAATTCTCATAACTAGTAAAAACCTGTGTTGTATCTGATCACGGTGACAAAGAGAAATATTGTTGAAAAGAAACTTTTTTTATATTTTAAATAACTAAATAGGAAATATAATGTATCATATTTATTAAATACAAATTTATTTTCAATACATTTTATGGATAAAATGGATTTTATTGAAGAACGGGTCACTCAAGGTCCGATCAGAAAGAGTGCGAATTCACTGACCTCAGTTTTCAAATGTTCATGTTGACACCCCCTAATGGCGCCGTTGGTATAAGGTATGAACAAAGAAATAACCAACTAAAGGGAATGTAATTGCCTTCGTGCAGAAAGTATCACGTATTTTTGTAGGCTCTGCCCTTCCAAATTGTAAGGTTATATGATAAATGAACTTGATATAACGATTTTACACAGTTCTTACGCATAGATATTATTCTATCAACAACAATAACTGTTCGATTGATACTAAATTAAAATAGGATATTATGATGATAAGTTACCAAAAGCTAATAACTTTTGTAATATTATATTATCACTTATGATATTAACATATAATATAATGTTATCGTTTGTACATGTATGTCACGTATTATGAATATCACCAAAGCAGAATTTCCTTATTTAAAATATAAAATAACCAGTTAATTATAGAATAAAATCTATTTATTTTACAAATTTTTAAGTTATGTCTACGCGCAGCTCCCCCATTATAATTAACTAATTAAAATAGAAAGCCTCAGCTTCCAAGATCACGCTAGGAATTGCTAGACTGCCTCCTACTGGCTATAAAAAACCAAATTTCCCCGTCAAAACCAGTTTATTCGGTAATTTTAAAATACACAAAATCTGTGACATTCTACTCAAGATTATCAACTTACTCAAGACTGTCTCATTTTTTAATTAATTTGGCCTTAATATATTTTTTTATTTAAAAACACCAGTCTTTTTTCTTATTTTTTTTTTTGACTTAGAATATCTTTAAGCTCTTTAAGAATCTGAGAAGGTATTAATTTTACCCTGATGTGTTTATTTATTTATTTTTTTTTTGTGTCTGTCACTACTTTTTCTCAACTTTCACTAGATCGATTTTTCTCAACGATACGTCAAAAGTTCTCAAATAGTATCTAGTTGAAGACATTACCCTCAAAAATTGAAAATTTTGGCCTCGTTCCCCGTAAATAGTGAAAATCCGTCAAAAATTACGATTTTTAAAATCGGTAAATTTCGACATTTTTTTAACTTTTATTTTCTAAAAATTGCCATAACTTATTGAAAAATAAACAAATCAAAATAATCATTTTTTTATATTGAAACCGTAGATATTTTCCTTTTATTTGATATCAATTTTTCGAAAATTTAACCCATTACCTGCCCTTAGGTGAGGTTTCAAAATAGCAAATTCTGCACTAATATTAATTTTTTCAACTTAAGTATTAAAAATGTTCTGGAAATACTCCGAGCTTCAAACATTCGTTCAAAAAAAAGAATTTTTCCCGACGACTCATCTTCTATGTGAAAATGGTTGCCGTATATAAAAAACATGAAATTTTGGTGTTAAAATTTACGATTTCATATTTTATTTTTTCAACTTTAAATTACTATAATTTTTTGAAAAATGTATGGATCAATACGAATTTTTTTTTTAGAAATCTATTACATGTACTCCTTTATCCAACATACTTTTTTTTAATCAAACCATTTCTCCTTATACAGAGAGTGTTCAAAACTTTTCAAATTAGGTTTAAAAAGTTATCTCAACTTAGGTTTTCAAAATGTTCTGGTAATACTGCGTCATTTGAACATATTTTAAATTAAAGCTCATGTTACGTAATATAATTTAATATTTTTACGTAACACTATATACATTAAGTCATGGATAACGACAGTTTTATCGATAATATGAATCACGTGGTTAAACTAAATAGATAATTTGCAAGTGTTTTTTCTTTAAAGTCGAAAAAATTAATTTTAACAGTTGAATCAGCTTATATTACCAATTTTATCAAAAAACGAATGCGATGAACATTTGCCGATTCAGTAAAAATCATTCCCCGTAGAATTGATTTTTTTGCAATTTTTCCATAATTCTTTTTGAGTTAGAATTTTGTTTTTCAATAATTCACCAATTTCTTAAAATTAAACACTATCTACAGATTTGCATCGAAGCGTTTCATATGATAGTGATTTTTATTACTGTCAGATATCATCTATACTAATCCCAACTATGCCACGTCCCCATTGTGCCGCAACCCCAATGTACTACAGTTTTATTAAAATTACATTACACTTAGATATTTTAAAGTGAAATTTGTTTTGGTAAATCTTTTAATTTTAGTTCATTTGTTCATTAAATTATAATGTTTTATTTTTCTGTGGAAATAAATGTCAAATAACATTTTAAAAATTAATCCTTTTTTTTTTAATTGTTATATTTTAATAATAAATCCAATCCAACTTTAAATTTTTATTTAATAGTAAAAGTAAGTTTGAACTTTTCTTGTTACCGGTACGAACATCCTACCGGTGGACATAGCTAAAGGTCACAATTTTCTCAGTTAAAATTGAGACTTAAATTAATTTAATAATAATTATAATGGACTAAACGCAATGAAATACTATACTTATTGTGTGGTATTCTTTGAGTTTAATGTCTTTGTTTTCACGAACGTCGCGCCGACGGACAGAGTAAAGGTTACAACTAGATAATATTTTAGAATTAGGTATATTAGATTAGAATATATCTGTAAGCCTATGTGTATTGAGTAGCTAGTCTCTGAGCTTAATGTCTTTGATCTAACGAACATCGCGCAATGTTAATAAAATATATTATCAGTGTTTGATAATATATTTTGTATTGGTGATTATTTTTCCGCATCCTTTCAAATCGTTAGCTCGGGAACACATTGGGCCACCAAAATACCATCTTGATAAAATGTTTACATAGATATAAATATTATTGAATTTTGTTTTGGCCAGGACAGAAAAAGATTAAAAGTAATATGTATTAGTTAATTGGCCGGAGATCACAATTATCAATAGAAAATAAAACATTACTTTATGTATCTATCTTAAAACCAATATGAACTTACTGCGTTCAACTATGGGGCTGCGCTAGCAAGTCTTGGATTGATAAAATTAAAACTATGCAAAACATTACTCTCCGTACTATTACCAATGCGTACATGTGTAAAAAAATGACAATATTCATAAGGATATGATGATACCAACCGTCAGAGAAAAAATTCAACGGTATGCCAGGGCACATGAAAATCGTCTGAAGACCCACGTCAACAAAGCTGCTGCTCAACTGCTTGATTACTCACAAGATGTTAGAAGATTAAAAAAAAATAAACCATACGACTTATTGTGAATATATATTATATAATGTAAATTTACTTAAGTTTGGAAACTCTTCACTGGAAGTTTCTCTCCTTCATTGTGTATAATATCTTAACTATACGTTTTATGTAATATTAGATGTTAAATGTAATTTGTAAAAAATTTTGATTAAGACCGCAAGGTCGTCTCGAATATATATTACTTGTAATAAAAAAATAGAAAAGAAAAAATATTAAAAAATATTTATGTCGATCTTTCAATAAAATTTACTCTCTCTCTCAAAAAAAAGTTCTTATTCAACATAGATACAAAAAAAATAATAAAATTATATTTCTTATAAAAATGTGGAGCGTTTAATATCTTTTACAAATTAAATCAGTCTCAGATTTTGTGTAATTAAATCATATTATTTAAAGTTTGAATCGTTTTCGTTAAAAATTATATTGACTATACGTCGTGTAATGTGAAACTTTTTCTATTTTTCTTATTCCTTTTTAGTTTATTATACTTTTCACTTATTACTATTTATTTAAAAATTTACTTCATTATTTTGTTTTAAAGGTTCAACACCATGCCAATTTCTAATATTATTTATTGCAGATAAATATTGTCTTTTTATTTTAGAATGCATGTCCATATCATCTTCCATTCCTTTATAGTAACCAATATACTGTAAGTGATCACATTTTAAATGTTTATCAAATTCAGCCCATGCTATATCTAAACTGTAGAAAAAAATGTATTTTTAAGTCTTGACAATTTTTTTTAATATGTTTATTAAAAAAAAAAATAATTGTATTTAATATTACAGATAAAAATTGTAGCAAAAAAAATTTGCCAAGTATAGATTTCATATTATCATGAAATATAAATCGAATTTTTTTACGTATTAAAATAGAAAAATACGAATTAATACTCACTCCTTTTTAAGATTACCAGATGTTCGATAGCATGTATGAAATATTATAAATAATTTTAATAAAATCATTTGAATCATTTTTAACGTAAGATGTATAAATTGAAAATTTGATCAAATAGGGAGAAATTTTAGTACAAAAGTTTAATTTTCATTGAAAATATTTATGTCTTTAGCTATTAAATAATTTATACATTTATTATGATTAATTATATTATCTTATTATTCATTATTTTATATTTATAGCATAGTTAAATAGAAAAGCCAAAAATTTACTATTTTCATTAACAGTATTTGTACAGAAACACATTATAATCTGTAAATACCTAGTACTGTTGAGTTTCATTATAGAAAAAATAATTATAAATAATAAATTACGTTGATATATAAATTTTTTTTACTAATTACTCCCAAAACATTGTTTAGGGCTAATTTTATATTTTCGGTCATAGTTAAGTATTTTACATATGACAAAGAAATATTATCTAACTAGTTGTAATTATTTTTAGTAGAATCTATACTAAAAATAGGTGATTTTAAAGGGGTCGTTAAAAATTAATTTTATTACAGAGACTTTACATTTTTTTTCTTAAATTTTTTTTGCTTATAACAATGAGTAATGCAAAATTTAAGAACGTATGATCAAATTAACGTCCCCGCCGTCGTTTGAAGCTGCTTATAACAGTTATCTTAAAAAAAGGTATTAACGTATTACAATAAAAAATTTTATCATTAACTTAGAGCTTCTATTATTCAATAGAATATATTACGAGAACTTCAAAAATATAATTTTTATAATGATTAAACAATCAATTGTTATATTAGTAAAAAATATGAGAAAATTTCAACATTTTAGAAAAATTAACTTTAAAAGGTAATAGAAAAGAAAATGAGAAATGAAACATGTATATCTAAAAACCAATTTGAATTTATGCTATATAGGCTTAAATGGTTTGGTTTTGTTATGAGGAGAGAGGAATCGGAAGCTATAAGTACAGTTATGGAAATTAATGTTGAAGGAAGAAGAGGTAGAGTAAGACAAAAAAAGAAATGGAGGAATGTTATTGAATGCGATATGATGACGACTGATGTGTGCGTAGATGATGTGGGAGATCGTGTCAAGTGGAAGTTTAAGATAAGGGTTGCCGACTCCATTGGTTGGGATAAAGGCGAGGTAAAAGAAGAAGAATTTGCCCAGCATAACCAACTACAGTTGCAAAAAATGACTAACGCGTGAGCTCGGCAAATTACCCATAAAAGGCTAGAATATGTATGGCTTCGAAGGAAAACACGCGACGTATTAGTTTATCTGGCAATGTTTCGCTCATTCAACGGCCAGTATTTTTCGCGTAAAGATGATAACAACGCTTGTGGTCCAGCGTATAGCAATCTTGTGTGTCCGTGTTCGAAAATTAACTTATTGTGTTTTAACATTTTTACTATTTTCTTAAATCTCATTAACCCGGTAGGCGACAAAGGTTTTGCCACGAATCGGAGAGATGTTTAACCGTGCTAAAGCGATGTTTGAATCAGACTAGTAATACGTATTATTTATTCCTATTCGGAGACAAGGGACAACTTTTTAAAGAAGCCTACTTAATATCAGCGTAAAGCTCCAGTCGGGCAAGTGAAATCACTTTTAAGGAAGCCGCCCACTATTTATATATATAGTTTATATACTTATACTATTATATACTTATGTTAATAATATAACAGATTAAAAACAATGCTTATTTTATAATTTATTAATAAACAAAAATTGCTGGAAAAATATGTTTAAATCCTTTTTTTTTTTTTGAGGGAGAATTAGTAGTATTATGGCGAAAATAGAGAAAATTGACCATAACGTTATGAAGTACGGCAAAATTTCAAATGACTATAGGCAGACAATATGTGAATACGTCTCTGTATACAGGTCGTCAACAATCTTATATACCAGTATCTTAAAAACTATATTACAAAATTATTTGTGAGTAAATGTTTTATTACGCATGATGTTAAATAACATGCATGTATTAAAAGAGTGCATCCATATATAAATAACAGTTTCATAAGTATTTTTATGTTTTTTAAAGAATCATTAATATATAAATTGAGTATTCTAAATTTAAATCTTACAAATAATAATAATGTTATGGACAATTTTTCACAAATATTAATTTAGTTATAATTAAATATTAATCTTAACAGCATAATCATCAAAAACCAAATAATATAAAAATATGTTTTATTACGCATAATGTTAAAATATTAGAATTATTAAAAGCCTATTTGTTGATAAACAAACACTATACTCAGTGTTAAACAACACATTGGGTACAGTAATATTATTTAAGATAACAGTTTAATGTATTTTTACTTATGTTAGTATAGTACACTGATTCATAGGTATATATTATGAAAAACTAAAATATTCTCATCATATATTAAAACCTCAATAAGTTAAAAATATTATAAAATTTATTTAGCATTATGTATTTAAATTAAGATGGTATAAATTAAAAATTAAAGGTTTAAAGGTTATTTCCCAATTAAGGATTTTACTATATATAGTTAAATCATAAATATAAAATTTATTTATTTTTGTTAAGAAAACAAATAATTTATATTATTTAATTGGAAACAAAATAGCAAATAAAATGTTTCTTAAAATTATTTAAATCAAGTTTTAATTAAAGCTAACAAATTATTGTTTATAGGTTTATGAAAAATTTACAAAAAGTTTTTAAATGTCATTATTTTATTTTTTATTAATATTCCTTTTTAATACAAAGTCAACTATGAACAATATCTTACATTTGTAAAGAATTTTAATTAACTCTTATATAATTATTTATGTTTATTTGAATGTTAAAAAAAATATATAAATTATAAAAACTTTCATTTTTACCAGTTATTAAAGCTGTGAAAATCATAACCAACATCTTTTTTTTTTTTAATTGGTAGTTCATCACTGTCAACTCTGCAAATGTATTAAAAAAATATAAGTATATAAAAAGTGAAGTTATAAGAAATTTTTTAGTTATTACTTAGGCTGTTTTAAAACAGAGGGATTAATATATTTTCCAACGCCAGATTTGTAAGTTTTCAGTATAACTCCAGGAATAGCAACACTAGAAACAGAATTATTTTCATTTTTATTGGTACATTGACTGCTTGATTCTACATCACTTAATTTTTCTTGGCGTTCCTCAGCAATCTAAACATTATAAAAGGAATGAAAATTTTACCTTCAAGATTTTAGATATTATACAAGCCATATACTTTGTCATCAACTTCTTGAAATGGATCCACAAATATATGTGTTCTTATTATATTAATATCAGATATTGGCCTATCTTTGTTGTCTACTTCTATTTCTTCAATGGCATTAAGTGTTTCAAAGCCACCAACTATACGACCAAACACAGTGTGTTTATTATCCAAATGTTTGCAAGAGCGATAAGTAATAAAACTAAAAATGAATAATAAAATAATTATGGATACATTTTTGTTATCTAAATCTAGATTTTTATTCTACTTATTTAAATATTTTAATATTTGTTATCCTAGTCAAGTATTATCAAGATACATATTGTTTTTTTAAACTTACAATTGTGATTTGTTTGTGTTAGGTCCGGAATTCGCCATAGAAAGAATTCCGCGACCAGAGTGAGTTAAATTTTGTTTGAATTCATCTTCAAAAGATTCGCCCCAAAATGATTCTCCACCTTTACCCGTGCCTGTTGGATCACCACCTTGGATCATAAAATTACGTATTGACCTATGAAATATTGTGCCATCATAGTATTCTTTTTGACATAGTTTCATAAAATTTTCACAAGTTTTAGGAACTTCTTGGCAAAACAATTCTAAATTTAGTGGTCCATAATTGGTGACTAAACGAACATAACCTGTAATAAGATAAAATTTTTAATAAAATTACACTAACATTTTTTGCACTTTATATAAGATATTATAATTATTCCAAAATTTTATAGAGCAATATTATTTTTCACAACCTTATTAATAAAAACCATAAAAATATATATTAAATATAAGTTATTTATAAAAAAAGTTATTTTCAATAAAAAGCTTTGAAAAAAACATAAAAATTTTGTAAAATAAAAAAAAAAATTTGCAACTTCATTTTTATCAAAACAATATTCTGTATATTAAAAAAAAAGATCATTCTTTAAGCTTTTTTAAATAATTAGTATATCAAAATATATTGAATTTAAATATATTAAAATAATTATTACTATATTAACCTTTTTTTTTTATGCGCTCATAACGAATTTCGTTTTCTTCTAAAATTGCTGCTTCATGCTTCCAAACTGGAACCATGGCTGTTGATGTAAAGCTAGCAGCAACATGACCAGTAGAATAGTGAGCCTAATCAAATTTAAAAAATTTTTTAAAAAACTTCTTTAAAAATTCATAGCAAATGTGACAAATATTATAACTGTATTATACAAACAGCATTCAATTTATCAGGTTTTTTAATTTCTTCAGTAATTTTTTTTTCAGGCTCCTTGTAATCTCTTCCTAGAGTATCTAAGATATCTCTTGTAGTCTTGGAAACAGTTTTCAACTGACCTTCTGGGTCTTTAAATTGAGCTTCTTCTTCTATATATTAATTAACACCTTTAAAACAATATTTAAATTGAGTAATATAAAAACAATTAAAATCTTACCAGGGTCAGTAACTTTAATTTTTTTTACAACATGATGAAACTTAGCAATATTAAATTTTGCTAAGTGCGTTGGATCTTGTAGAGTTATTATGTCTTTACGTTGAAAAGGTTCATCATTTAAAAGATCTTTCCAGTTTTTTGTCTTTATATTTAATTGTTCGATAGCCTAAAATTATAATAAAACAATAAATGTATCTGATGTTTAACATAGAAAAATAGACAGAATAAATTAATCTAGTTTTAACAATTTTGAAAATTTAATAGTTTTTCTTATCTTATCACTTTTGATTTTATAACAACTATGAGACTATTGAAGTAAATTAAATTCTAAACTTTGATAATTTGTAAATGAAATAATGTTCATTGTATTAGAAGAAACTTTTTTTTTTTTTTTTTAACTCAATTTTAAAAAACAGCAATAACTGTAAGGGATTAAACTTTTTTAAGGGATTAAAAAATTATATTTCATTACATAGTTGAAAGAGTTTATAATTTATTATTAATAGAAATAAATAACAGAAATAAAAATTAATTGAAACCTCATATGAAAAGACGTTTCCAGTTGTTTTGATTGCTACTATATGCGAGTGTTTTGTCAATGATTTAAACAGAACTGGACAATGGTATTCACCAGCTGCATTACGATGAAAATTTAATTTTGTCAGCTGTTTCAAATCTAATGGCTAAAAATGAATTGAATAATCAATTAGTTATTAAATTCAATTTTAAAATATGATTTTAAGTAATATACATTATATTTCAATATATTGTTATCCATACCTTGCCTGTAACTGGATTATGTTTAAACTGTTGAAGGTATTCTAGTAATGCTTCATATTCAAAAATATTGCCATCAGGATCACAATAGGGATTTTTAAACACTACCAGTGATACACAACAGTGGTCAAACGGTAAACGTGCAAATTTTGGTTTTTCAATTCCTGGTCTTTTACCACCATATAAAGTTGACCACTCTGTGTATGTGAGATACCTGAAAATTAAATAAGATATTAAACACATAAATCAGTACTTCTAGAAACGTTTAAAATTTAAGCTTACATTTTATCTTTTTGATGTTGTCGTTTACCCATTTTGAATAGTTTATTTCGTTCAAACAGTAATTGATAATTACTAAAGTAATGATAAAGTACTAAGCTTAAAACTAATTCAAATTCTAATTTATTAAATTATTTATTGATTAATAGTTGATAGTTTATTAAATATTTCATGACTTATTAAAGTATAAATAAAATGAAAACAATTTTATTTATGAATAAAAAATATTATACAATAATAATATTTTATTATATAGACTTAATATTAAATTCAAGAAAGATTGAAAATTCGTTTTTTACTTAATCTTATACTTTTAGTGTATTAAATATGTAAAAATTGTAACAAAATCAACGCATTAATGATAACAAATAAAAATTATAATTATCATTTAGATAGTATCCCAGAATAATATCAGTTGATTTGGATATCCGTGGACCTTATCAATAAGTTGAAAAATAATTTGATTAGAGATTCAATTTGGTATGAATCGGATATTGTTTTAGAAAAGGTCAAGACTTTTATTAATTTAAGTTGGTTGTAATTGTAGGTAATTAAATTTAAAAAATGTACAAAGTAACTCACTTATCTGCCGTAAGTATGAATATTTTGAAATTTATGTTAAAATTTATAACTAAAAATTTTCTTTGGTTTATGAATTAGATAAACTCTGTTCGCAATTGTCAACGAGTTGGTGTATTATGCTCTGTTGGTACCCGTTTTCAATGTATTAACACTTCAACTAATGTATCCAAGCCAAAGTAAGATAATAATTGTACTATAAAACTTATTATTTTATATTTTTTAATAACCTATGTTTAGGTCTCAATTTATTGTGTATTCAATGGGTACTATATTAACTGGTATTTTTGGTACTGCTGGTGTAGTTTTATACTCTAAAAATGATCCAAAATTTCGTCAACTTCTAGTTACAAATATACCAGGATCAGAAGATTTCTTAAAAATTTTTGATGATAAAGATATGCTACAGGGAGTTCAATATTTGGGTGGTCGTTTGGCATGCAAAATTGGACAGCAAATTAATGTTTTGAAAAAAACGTAACTTCTGTATTTTTTATTACATTATAATTTTAATTATAAATATTTTCTTTTAAAGGATTATAGGAGAATCAAATGATGTCTTTGATAAATCTATTGATAAAGGTAATATGAAAATATATTTTTTCTTTATCACCATCTTAAGTTAACATTCTATTTCAGTTAAACTAATTTCTCACAATGAACCAATAAGTACAGCTAAAAACTTTAAAGTTAAAGAAAATAAAACTGAGGCTCAAGGTAAATGATTTTCAATTAAATTATTCTAAAATTAATAAAACAATATACAAATATATATATATATATAATTTTTTTTTAGAATTAACTGAGCCCAATGTTAAGAATGTTGAAAATGAACCAATATTAAATAAACCCATGATATCAAAGAATGATCCAATAATTGTTACTGCGGGTAAGTCGATTTTATATAAAAATGTTAAGGTGCTTCTCAATTTTAAAAATTATGTCTAGAAATACAATAAAATATCATTTTTTATCATTTTTTAGTCAGCCCTCAAAATAAGGAGGCAACATTTACTGTTGCACCTCCAAAAAATGTTTCATTAAATGAAATAGAATCGGATATTTTGAAAAGTACTACTGAAGGAATTGAAGCATATAATTTAGCTACCCAATTACTAAAAGGTTGATAATATACATAAAGATAGTATCTATATTAATTTAAAACTAATGAAAAAATATTCGATGATTATTATTAAAAAATAAATTTTTACATAAATTGGTGAAGAATAAAAATTGTTTTTAATTATCACTATTTCGGTATTAATTTAGAGTATAATGATTCAATCTTCAAACTCATTGAAAATTCTACTGAAATAATAGATCCTAATTTAACTGAAAAACTAGAAAAATTAGAAGAGAATAACAATTTAATATATGTAAAAATGTTAGATGATGCAAAGAAACACAAGTAAGAAAATTTTATAACTGTTAAATAGAATTAAGTTTCACATTTTTATTTTTATTTTTAAGGAACATAAAAATAAAAAGTAGAAGTATATATTAAATTAAATATTATTATAGTATTTAGTTTTTATTTACATATTTTAGAAAACAAATAATTGAAAAACAGAAACTTTTAAATGAATCAAAGTTTGAATCATCTGAAAAGCTTGCTAAAGTACTACATACAATAAATAGTTCTATAGATAAGATATCTAAAGCAGATTCACATTTAGAGCATGAATTACATAGATTGGCATTAATGAAAAACTATAAATCTAAAATTAGCCAAGGACAAATTAATTTAATTGTAAGTTAAATTTGTTAGTTGTTAACTTCTAAATAATTTAATGTTTTTGTTAATTTTAGAAAGAATTTGAATCACTCTTTCCTAATTTAGATATAACCCAAAACAAAAATAATGATATGAATATTGACTATGATTTGTTTCTTTTATATGCTATGAAAAAGTTAAACCATTTTCAAGATATTTTATCCAAAAATGATGTATGATATTTTAAAATAATACTTAATAAATGTTTGATTATAGTTTTCATATTTATTATAGACTCTCCATGATCAAAAATTAAATAAAGCCTTGCATTCTGAATTGTTTGATGCAGATTCTGCTAATTTATTAAATTCACGTTTGAGTGTAGAAGTAGATAAATTAGATAACTATTTTGAAAATAAGGTAAGTATATTTTATAACATTATTGATAAAAAATATTTTTGATAAGTGTGGTATAAAAATTTATATTTATTAGTTAAATAAATTAAAAATAAAACTTGATGAAGACTTGCAAAATCAATTAAAATTGCATACTCAGGCTCATGCTGAGCTTATAATAGAAGCTGTAGAAGATACTAAAGAACAAATTGAAAGCAGAGTACGAGACGAGTTGTCATTCATAGAAAAGTTAGAGCAAGAGAAATATAAATTACAATTAGATAAATTGAGATCCGACTTGCAAAAAGTTATCAATAATTTAAAAGGTAATAATTTAATTTTTAATTTTTAAAGACTACCTTTTTAAGTATAATATTAATTTTTAGAGCGTGCTGAGAGAGATAAAAATGTTTTTACACATTATGCTATGTGGGAAGTTAGCGAATTAATCAAATCATCATTAAATAGTTGTGATAGTAATGAACCAGTTCATTTAAAAAACAAAATTAAAGATATTAAAATATCTGGAGGTAAAACTATAGTTGATTTAAAATAGTTTATAAATGTTTATCAACTGTATATAAATATTAATAAATTTCACCTCAGTCACAGATCAAATGGTAAATAAAGTTTTTGATGAAATCCCACCCAAGGCTCTTGAAAATGGTGTACTCACAAAAGGTCAACTTAAAGAAGATTTTAAGCAAGTTGAAAAAAGAGTATATCAAACAGCTTTAATTCCTGACGATACTTTCAATTTACCATTGATGGCTTTTAGTTATTTCATTAGTTTATTTGTTGTACATCATTCTCATATATCAGCCTCAGAAGTAAACAATGAAGAATTTGATCCATCAGAATTAAATACATATGAAATTATTGAAAGAGCTAGGTATAATCTAATAGAAATATTTTAATTATCTGTCCCTAGCATGGATTTACAACTCTAATTTAATCAGTATAAAAAATGTAAAAGAAAAAATGTTATTTTTGAGAAAAAATATTTTAGTAGAAACTGATAATTTATCATTATTTTAATCATTTTAAAACACATTTTTTCCCATAGATAATTTAAATTTTTTAACAGGAAATCAAAATAAATTTTTGATTTAAAATTGTATTATTTATGTTCATAGTATACATATGCATTAAAATTGAAGTGCTGACATAAGAATAAAACTAAATCTAAAAAATCAATTTTTCATTTTTATGTGTAAAACATAATAAATACAAATCTAATAGCCTGATAAAAAAATTAAATAAAATCTTAATAAATAATAGAAAAAACAGTTAACAAAAGAAATATATGCCAAAAGTGCACACATTTTATAAAAATGATTTTTCTTTCTCCTGAAAAAGTTAGTTTTTATGATATTTGCCATGTCTTGCATCAATTAATAACTTATTAAAACAATACAAACTTTTAAGTTGTAGGTTATTTTTTTTTTATTAATTTTGTCATAAAATTGTTTTAGGTATTGTATTGATAGAGATGATTTCTTACAAACAATACGATATTTAAATTTACTAACTGGATGTTCTCGGGTAGTTGCTAAATTATGGATGCAAGAAGCTACTTTATTTTTGGAAACAAAACAAGCCTTTGATTTATTAACATCTTACGCTGCAGCAACAACTACACCTGTTCATAGTACTTAATTGTTTTATTTTCATTTGTGTATATTTTTATTTTGGGTATCTTGTAGAGCTGTTATTTATATTTTGTTACCTGAATTCATAATTTGTATGTACTGCATAAAATCAATGAAAAAATTATATACATTACAATTACTGAGTAATTGAATTATATTCTAAGAGTTAATAATTATTTAATATCTACATATTTTCAAAGTTAATTCTAGATTTTTTGGCAGAGGTTTTTTTTTTGGAAAATAAGAATTTTTATAACATAAAAATATTTTTCTGCTCATCTCTCCAAAAACTATAAAACAATAACACAGTGAGGTCGCAGCACAGTATGGACGTGGCATAGTGAGGACAAGTATAGATGATATCTGACAGTGATTAAAATCACTATCATTAGAAATGCTTCGCAGCAAATCTGTAGATAGTGTTTAATTCTAAGAAATTGGTGTATAATTACAAAAGCAGTTCCTATTTCCTTATTTATATTACAAGTTTTTTTTATTTAAAAGTATAATATATGAATAAATACTAATTATGATAATTAAATATAGTATGAAATTGATATTCAATAATTTAATATTGTAATTTCTACGATAAAATTATAAAAATAATAAAATATTATTTTACTTGATGTAATACTTTTCAAACAAATATTTTGGTAATTTATGAATAAATATACTTGGTTACAAGGAACTTTCATTAGAGTCAAAAATATGCTATTCTAAATAAAATTTTCGTGCCTTTTTTAAGTTTGTAATTAGATTTTTCTTTCACTTATAATTATTTATGTTATTACTAATTAGTAAAAAGTGAATAAAACTAAAAAAAACCAATCAATATGTTGTTAAAAAAATCTACACAATTGATCGTTTTTTAATATACGATTATAATTGTAAAAATGCATTATTAAATTCATCTGAAACTAAAAATTATTTTTTTAGAAATGATTTATACAGCAACATGTTCCCAAAAAATTGGAATTTCATTGACACACACAAATGGGGAAAAAAAATTATAAATTACTAAGTAAAATTATTTAATTTTGTAATTAAAACCTATTATGATATCAAACTTAATTTGACAATAAATACTTTAAAAACATTAGAAATTAATAATTTTAATTGTCTACATAGAAAATGTGTGCCAAGGAACTTTTTAATTGATATAATGGATTTTTTTCAATTTGTGAGGTTAATAATTTCAACTGAATACGAATTGTAAACATTAAAAAAAGTAGGTCGACTAAAAGCTGAGAAGATAAATGATAGTCACAAAAAAAATCGTATAGTAAAATAATTATTAATGAATAAGTAGTTATTTCTCACGAGGAAAGACTATAGTGATGGGATCATTAATATTTATTGAAGTTATTGAATCTAAATGAGTTGAACATTTTTTTCTAACTCAAAAATAATTAAGAAAAAAATGCAAAAACTCATTGCTACTGTTGAGTTTGAACCTGGTACCCCAAGCGTGAAAAACAAAATTGTTACCTTCTAGCTTTGCATCAAAGCTAAAAGTTGGTTTCCTATTTTATAGAGGTTATATTTGTAATCGGTTGATATTAAATTGGACATAGTAATATGTTATTCCTAAAATAAATCGATAGATAATTCATTCATCAATGACATATTTAAATATTTTCTATCCTTATAATTATTTTAAAAAGTTTTTTTAGTTCATTATATCGCAATTTGGAAAGTGATGAACAAAAAACTACAGTCTTTTTAGCATAAATGCCGTATTTTAACCCTTTAAAAACGTCTTTATTATGATTAGAATATAAAACCATATTTCAGTAAAAGCATTTTTGTTATTTTTTGAAGAAACAGCAATTTTAATCATGGGTACAAATGATTATTTTGAAAATTATTATTTGATTTTTCAAAATTTATGTATGTTAAAACTAAAGAAAAATGAGAAATTATAAATTATGCCTAAATGTTAAGCATAACATCATAATTAACCATTATTACCCACTATGCGGCAATTATAGCCAAAATGCTTATCTATTTGAAATATTTATTTAAGAATTTAAAAAATATTTTGATTGCTTTATTAGATATACCACAGTAAAATGAATTAATAAAATTCATTTTACTGTAAGTAATACTAAGATAAATTAAAAATTCAATTATTTTTATAATCTATTCTATGTATAGTTCTAAAATATTGCTTTGATAAGGAGTTAAATTCTTAGATAGCATTTTATCATTGATTGAGTGGCCATTGTTTTTATAATTAGCCAGATGTAATAGTTATTTAACTATAAATAAGTAATTAAGTAGATTAACTATTAACAAGAAGAAAAGATTTTATTTATGTTTATAAATTTTCCTAAGTATTGGATGATAAATTTTAAACATGGGCAATGCTGACACAAAATTAGTGTTCAGAAAAGCTGTTGTACAATTGACTTCTAAAACTCAAGTAAATTCATCTTAAAAAACTTATTTACCGTTTATAATAATGATTCATTTATTTTAGACAATTAGTGCTGAAGATGATGATTTTTGGAATCAATTTTGGTCTGAAAATGTAACTAATGTACAAGATGTATTCACATTAGTACCAGCTGCTGAAATTCGGCTTTTGAGAGAAGATGTGCCAGCAAATCTTGCTACATTATGTTATAAAGCTGTTGAAAAATTTGTTAAGGCTGTTGAAAACAGCTGCCGCACTCAACAAGATCAAAATACTGGTGAATTAATTGATTATTATTTTATTTGATGTATCTGTGTAAATAACTAACATACTCAATTTTTTAACAGTATTAAATTGTTCTCGGCTTTTAACTCGAATTCTACCATACATTTTTGAAGATCCTGATTGGGAAAATATATTTTGGTCAAGTTTACCTGCTGGAAAAGGAGATCCTCCTATACCATTAGCACATTCTTTATGTAGTGCTCTCTGTGTAATTAATTTATAAATAAATATATATTTTTTAACTTAACCAGTTTTTATATTTAAATAAAATTATTTTCAATATTATTTTTTTTTTAGGATTTATTATTTTGTCCTGATTTTACAGTTGCCTCTAACCGCAAAAATGGCCCAGTACGTAAATTATTATAATTATTTGATTATTTCAGTAATAATTTTACAATTATAATTTCTAATTTAAAAAATTAACAATGCATAATATTTTCTAGGATAAAGCTGAAGATCTTCAAGCTGTTGACAGTTGTGAATATATTTGGGAGAAAGGTGTTGGCTTTGCTCAATCACCTGTAAAAAGTGCTGTATTTGAATTAAATAGAACTGAATTACTGAGATTACTATTGACTTGCTTCAGTCAAGCTATTTATTCATCTCATCAAAGTAAATTTTGTACAATTTTATTATATTCAAGGTTTTACATTAAAGCCTTAAATTTTTAATTCATTTTTTTTTTTAGATGTTAATAGATGGGTACAATATATTACCTCAGCTGATAATCGTCATGCTTTACCTATGCTTACCTCACTTTTAAATACTGTATGTGGATATGATCCAATAGGTATTGGTCTTCCATACAATCACTTAATATTTGCAGATACAACAGAGCCATTAGTTGATGTATGCTTACAAATTTTAATTGTATCTTTAGATTCTGGCATACAACAGGTTAATTATATGATTATAAAATTTTATTTATTTTTTCTCTATTGATAATACTAAAAATTATTTTTATTTTTATTTTATCAGAGTGATGATGCTGTTTTTGAAAATCTTTTTATAAACTATTTATCTAGAATACATCGCGATGAAGATTTTGCATTTATATTAAATGGCTTTACAAGACTTCTAATGAATCCATTAAGACAGACATATCTTCCAAATTCTACAAAAAAAGTTCAGTTTCATCAAGAGTTGTTGATTTTTTTTTGGAAAATATGTGAATTTAATAAAGTAATGTTTTATAATAAATTTGGTAATAACTTGATTCTCATTTTTATTTTTTTTTTTGTATAGAAATTCTTATATTTTGTCTTAAAAAGTAGTGATGTTCTTGATGTATTGGTTCCAATTTTATATCATTTAAATGATTCTAGAGCTGATCAATGTAAGTATGTGTAACTTAAATTTTTATATTTTGCTAAATTAATATTTTTTTATTTTATGTATTTAATTTATGTAAATAAATAACTGTATCTCTCTGAAAATAGTATACTGTAAATATTAATGTATAATTTTAGCTCGAATTGGATTAATGCATATTGGAGTGTTTATATTACTACTTTTAAGTGGTGAAAGGAATTTTGGAGTACGTTTAAATAAACCATATACATCCACTATACCTATGGACATACCTGTATTCAGTGGTACACACGCTGATCTACTTATTGTTGTATTTCATAAAATCATAACTACGGGACATAATAGGATGCAACCATTATTTGATTGTCTACTTACTATTTTAGTAAATGGTAGATTACTTTATTTTTATTTTTGAATAATGCATTAAAAAAAAAAAATACAATATTTTTAGTTTCCCCTTACTTGAAGACACTTTCTATGGTTTCCAGCACTAAACTATTACACTTAATGGAAGCATTTACAACACCTTGGTTTTTATTCTCTTCGCCATCAGCCAATCATTTAGTGTTTTTTTTATTGGAAATTTTTAATAACATTATTCAGTATCAATTTGATGGTTAGTTTCTATACATAGTAAAATATAATGAATTATTAATACATATTTATACTTCCTAGGTAATTCAAATCTAGTATATACCATAATACGTAAAAGACAAGTTTTTCATAGTTTAGCAAATTTGCCATCTGATTACAATACAATTGTCAAATCAATGACAAAAAAATCAAAAAAAAATTTACAAGCTATTACTCCGCCCAATCTTATGGTTTATGAATTGCCTAGTATGGAAGGTTCAACTCCAGCATTACCAGCTGAACCAGGAACTCTAAATGCTACATTACCTGATACTCCTGGTAAAATAATGCTTTAAGTTATATAACATAGATATAAACTTAAAAAATAACTCCTATCTATTAATGCTACTAATATATGTGAATGAATTGCTTTACTTAACTGGGTGTAATGTATCTCTTATGCCAGGAGTGATGAAAATCACTGAACGTGAAAGTGCCCATCCAGGTAATGTAACTTTACCTGCTGAATTAGTTTCATCTAATGTCATAACAAAAGAATTTGTGGACCAAGCATACAATGAAGGGGAATCTTCTCCCAAGATGTCTTCATCTAAGGTTTAATATTTTTTTATGTATATAATAGCAGTATAAAGGTTTTTAAAGTCAGATATTTTTTGTTTACACCCTTATTGATATAACAAATCCCATTTTGTCGTTTTTTATTTCTTTATGTTTTTTAGCTTAAAATAATTCTAATTAAATATTTATATAAAATAATTAGATTTTTTTTGAAAATTTCTTTTAATTATTTGAAATAAAATGTTATGAATTATAATTTAAACTAAAAATTAATTTTACTCATAAAAATAAATAAGTAATTAATAGACAATAAAACAGTTATATAAATTTAAATAATTAATTAATTGATTTTTCATTAACTTAATGTTTGATTTAGAATCTTTTAGTTTGTGCTGTGTACCACAAGATATTACCTCTGACATATGTTAACTGTTTTAAAAAAGTATGTGAATTTTCAAATTACATGTTATTATGTAATCTCATTCAGTACAAATATTATGATGGTTTGGCAAATATTCTCATAAAAACTTTATTGTAATACACTCAAAAAATTGGAAAAGAGTAGATTAAATGTGTTGGGTGGTATTAATTCAAGGTATTTTTCGATTTTAAGTTTTACATAAGTGCAATATGATGGTCTAGAAAGGGCATAGCTCCCATAGTTCTATTGTAGCTCCCCAAAAATTATAAATGTAGCATGTAAATTTATATAAAAATATTTTTTAGGAGAGAGAAATTAAGGTAGATCCTCAAACATTTTGTTCAAATGACATCAATGGACTTTTAAATGAAGAGTACTAAAATTAAATTTTATAAAAATAGCTATTAATTATTAAAAACTATTTATTTAAATTTAAAAAATCACAATCTATTAATAATTATAATTTTTTAATATTTCACTTTGAGAATGAGTTATATTAAAGAAGAAATATTATTAATTTATATATTTATATTTAAAATCATCAGTTTTTCTGTTTGCTGGGGAAGAGATTAGCAAAACAATTAGTCTCCCATCCATTCTAGTAAAAAAATGTTTAGCTGGAATAATGCAAATTTATCAAAATGAATTTACAAAAATATTATATTTTAAAACATCAAAATTTTAAGTTACTCATTAAAAAATTGTGTGTTATAGTTATAGTTATTTTAAAATGAGAACAGTAAAAATAAAACAAATTATGGCAAGAAAATATCCAAATTTTAATTTGTTAGGATTTTAATTGTTTACAGCTCACTAATGTTTTATTAAATACAATATATGAAATGTTCTATGCTTAGTATTATATAGTATTACTATTAGTATAATAGTATAGTCTAAATGTGCAAGTATTTTATTATTTGTTTTTTTGCATGTTCAAAAATTTTACTTGAGAAAATTTCTTATTATTCTGTTTATTGCATGCTTCTAATCATTTTATACTTGTAAATTTAAAATTAAAAAAATGCAGTAAATAAATTTTAAAAAAATATGTTGTTTCTATAATGCAAATTAAAAATGTATATTTTATTTATTTATCCATCCTACTTATTTTATATAAAGAAATTAAATTTATACAGAATGCATTTGAAAAATTGCTTTCTTCATATATTTTTTCAAAAATTAATTAATGGTGTGAAGTATCAAAAATGTTATTTTGTTAATCATTATGTCTTTATAATCAAGTTTTTTTTTTTTTGTATTCTTTTTAGATTTGAATATATTTTATTGAGTTTTTGAATACTTTATCAGTAAAACTAAACTATTCAGTGAATAGTATTCACTTTACCAAATTAAATAGACCTTTGAAGAGTCTGATCATTAATTGTGTGTAAATGGGTATTTTAATTTTATTTGATCATTTAGGATGACTCTGAATGGATACCTACTGTTGAGTGGGTAAGATCATGGAAAGAGAAGTTACCCTTACAAACAATAATGCGATTACTTCAAGTATTAGTACCTCAAGTGGAAAAGATATGTATAGATAAGTAAGATTTTATTTCTAGTTTACTGAGCTTTTATTATTTTTTAAATTAATATTTTATTTATTTATTTATTATAGAGGATTGACTGATGAAAGTGAGATTTTAAAGTTTTTACAACATGGTACCTTAGTTGGTCTATTACCAGTGCCTCATCCAATATTAATTCGAAAGTATCAATCAAATTCCGGTACAACTGCATGGTTTCGTACATTCATGTGGGCAGTAATATTTTTAAGGTATCAATTTTTGTTTTAATTAAGTTAATTTAATATAAGGAAAATGTTGGTCTTTTGAACATTTAAAATTTTAATATGTTTCTAGAAAAAAGGTATCTTTTTATGTAATTTACACTTTATTATACTTTTATTTATTGCAACAAAATTATTAAAAATTATTCCTTTCCAATAGAAATGTAGATCCACCAATATGGTTTGATACTGAAGTCAAAATGTTTGAAATACAACGAATGTAAACTAGTCATTCATCATAGTTTATCTCGCGATTTTATTGTCAATACTTTTTTGTTATATTTTAAATTGTGACATAATATATATTATAAATAATTTTCATGTATATTTATATTGGTGTAATTTTTTATATATTGGTTAATATTTATATTGCCTTGGAAACTATATTATTATTTGCTTTTTGTTTTATATAAAACAAATTTTGTGTTGTGACTTAATTTGTATCTAGATGTTATATAATTTATTCATATTAAAAAAAAAAAAATTTATTAATAGAACAATATACTATGTCAAATACTTTTTGAAGTTTATCATAAATCTTGAAAATTTTAATGAGAATTATTTTATATATTATACTATTTATCTCTCTTGCTGCCAAATATATTTTTTTTTTAATTAAAAAATAACATATTGGCGTTTATAGGATTTTAAATTTGGTAAATTGTATTATTTTAAATCTTATTATATAATAGAACAAGGAAAAAAACGCTTTTCTGCAAAAATTACATAGTGCTCAGATTTTCAAAAAAAATTTTTTAATGAAAGTACTCGGTCACAATATTAGGAATATTATTAACAAAGGTCGGAAATTTTTTGATACTCATCTGAGAGCGTTTTAAAATTCTGACCATTTTCGAGAAAAATGCCCACTAAATTTTTTAAATAGTCCCAAGTAATATAACTTGCCGAATTTTTTTGTTATTATTCTATAATATAAATATTATTATTATAATTAGAATATTAATTATTATTGTGTATACCAGGTGCGTATTTAAGGGTGATTTGAGCGATTGCACCCCTTGAACTAGTGCTATCAATATATTTTTAAGCAACTTCTAAAAATTAAGGACTTAATGACCTTTTTTTTGATCATCTCTTTGATTTTTAACAAAAAAATGTTCTATAACATGTTTAATAAAGAAAAAAAAATTAAATATCCTCCTAAAATAATTTCTGAATACACCAAAGGGGAATACCTCATTAACAAACGTCATCCTTATACCCAATACATTTTACTATATTCCCTTTTTGAATTTTCCGGGTTTAATAATTACATTTAAATATATTTTTGTTACACTGATTTCGATGTAATATATACCCTACAATACACTTATCGTTAACGGCGTAATCGGTTACTCCTACTGGAATCAAAAAGAGGCTTATACGTCAAGGGCGCGTTTGTCATAAGAAATATTTTTTAATTCATAAAAACTATGACTAGGAAATTTTGAATGTGTATAAAAAAAACAGCTATTATTTGAACCATAAAATAATATAATTGTTCATTTTATAAAATATTGTTACATACTAAAATAATAACAAAGGTTGGGAAACAAAATTTGGAGATATACAAGTACAATAACTAAATGATTGGCTTACAGTAGTTTTTTGGCTTTGTTACACAATAGTTTGTGCGTTCCTTTACTTAGGAAAAATTTATTTTGTGCGCTATAATTTAAAATCATCATAGTTTGTACTTCATATTAAAATAAATAATTTATTAAATACAATTCAAAGTAATAATAATAAAATTAAAAAAAAACAGATCTAAAGTGATGTTTTTTGTTCAGAGCTATTATATATAAAATTAACTTAATTACATATGAACATTATGAACTATAGAAAACATAAAAGAAATAAAATAGAGAGCTTTTTGGTTAAGATTCAGGTTTTTGTCACAAGAGACTATAATAATTATAATGTAAATTAACACTAGCTAGGAATAGGAAAATCATTAGTCATTGTCGGTAATGTATATCTGTATCACCTTATTTCAATCACAAATAAATTTAGTATATCCATTCCTAAAACAAGCATTTTTTATGCAATCATAATTTTTAACTCCTTTTAACTAATACATTTTTTAAGAGATTCAAACAATCATAATACATATATAAATTATTGATATATACTAATCTAAGTATTTTGTTCAACTTAAAACAATTTCATTTTTACAGAATTTTTGAACAAAACTAAGATAAAAAATTAATGTACAATTAAAAAAAAAAAAAGAATCCTACATTAATAATAATAAACTATACAACATTTTTAGTTGGGATGAGATGAGTTTGGGTCATAGGTTTTAAATTTTAAACAGCAAATTATATGGGATTGTAAAGCTTAGTTATGATTTAGATTAATTATTACAAAATTAAAATTTGTATTATCAATTAAAACTTATTGAGTAAAATATTCTACTGTCTGCATATTACGGCTGCCATTTTAAAATCGAATGTTATCGCATTAAATCATTTATACATTAAAATCAGTACGGCGTGAATCTGTTATAACCACTTCGATACATTGGCTGTAAAAAGAAAAAAATATACAATTATGATAAAAATAATGATAGTTTTCGTGTTTTTTTTTAATTAGTTTAAATAAAACATTTATGTTTGAGAATTTAAAATGGAATAGTGTTAAAAAAATGTTTTTAAATTGAATTCATAATAAATAAAATAGGAACAAAAATAAAAATAATTCATAATATTTTTTTACCACTTCATTGATTAAAAATTTTACACGCCGAGCAATAGCGATTCATTTTAAAGAATTGCCTCCATTTTATTCAGAAAAAAAATATTATTCGCTAGATTTTCCAATAGAACTGTAAATATTTTATCAGTTTAATATGGCTACGCGCATAAAATATTTTGACTTAAAAAAATTTCTATAAAATGCAAGTAAAAAATTAAAATACGAATTTTTTCCAAGAACACGACTTTAAACAGAAATAATAAAAAAAAATTTTTTTTAGCTAACGTCTCCGCGGTCGAGAAATCATAAAAATAATTGTAAATTTAGTACCAGGAATTCAGAAGGTTAACGTTCATTTTCTAATAGACAACGTCAACGACACGTGTGTACTAATTTAAATAACATATAGTACCAGGAGTTCAGGAGGAATCTAGTTTTCATCGGTAGCGGTGGACACGTAGAAATATGCAACCGTAACGGACGCACGAAATTTCTCGATTGAGCGAACGTATAGAATTCTATGAGATAGAGCGCACAGGGACCGCTTACGGATTACAAAATTGAATTAACAAAAATCACCGGAAAATTATAGACCTAATTATCAACGCACTAAATAATACACAATGAACACATTAATTCAAAAATAATTAATCGTCTCAAGGTCTAGCGCTAGATTGAGAAATATCGGCACGTTGAGATTTTATATTTTTGCTGGAAATTAATAAACAATAATAATAATTGCTGACCGTTGAGTTTATAATTCATAAATGAAACTTTATTTAAGAATTTCTCATTACGCCAAATAATATTAACCGATTATAATTTTACTTCAATAGCCTCGCACTTTAGAGCGGACTAACTAATATTTTCTCGGTAACTCACTGGCACACTTTAGGACTGACTTAGGCAAAAACATCGCAAATAGACAAATATTTGCCATGTTTTTCGTTTTATGAAAATTTTTGAAAATAAATCCCAATAAAATGTCTAATAGTAAGTGAAGTCGGTGAACGCTATGAAAATCGATTGAAAAGGGGTAATACTCGGAGACAGCGCGGCGTTCTCGTGGTTTTGTCTTGGGAGGAGATAAACGTAAGAAATTTGTTAACTACCCCTCCAAAATACATCGTTGTCATATATTTATGGGGGTTTCTACTACCCCTATGCTCAGGTAAACATAATAAGTAACAAAAGGAGTTCAACAACAACAAATTATATTACAAAATGATATGTACACCGAATTCTACTTAATGTACGACGCAAGGGCCTCTTAAATAAACACAAATTAGGCCTTTCCATAATTACAAAATTTTGCTTCAACAAGCGTATTAACTATAAATAACCTAAGGGAACATTACCAAAAACCCGAACTGCCATTAAAATGTATGAGATTACATTTGAAACAAGTATCAAAAAACATGGCGGTTTTAATCCAGTTTTCGAAAGGATAGTTCGCGTGAGAATTTTGAAATCCCGTAGCGTATAAAAATTATACATAGCAAGATTATTAAATAAAACGACGCGTAATTAAATTTGTATAAAGATTAATTCATATGGTATTGAGAGTAATTTCGTTAGTTAGAGCATTACTGAAAACATTTTAAATTGAACACTAAACCTATACAAATATTTCATAATTGTGGCATATTAAATTGTTTAATATACTAACTCCATATCCAGTAACCGGACCGATGCCATGGCTAGCTAAATATGAATCTGCTGCAGTGTATTCACGCCCAGTATATCTGATATAAAAATTTAAAAAAACAAGATTAAATTACTAGTATACGAATGACATAAACATATTAAAAAAAAAAAAAAAACAATTACACTAAAACCACACATGTTAAATTAAAATAATAAAAAATAACAATGGCGAGTTTAAAAGAATAAAATTAATTTTTAACATAACGTAATGTTTTTGTTTGCAAATAAAAAAAAATTACGGAAAATTAAAAATAATGATAAAAATTGTACTTTTATAAAAAAAAAATTCACACAACACGAAATACGTAACGCAGCAATAATTATTGAACATTAAAGGCAAACGTAAAACAATGAAAAACTAATAGATTTCTATAAGAAACACTAATAAGCGTAAAAAAGCGAATTTACAAACGAATAACATAAATTAACATCATAATAAAAGCTTTACTACGAAAATACGAGATATATATTTTAATTCACATGCATTAGTTTTGTACTACGTTAAAATATTAAAAACTAAAAACCAGTTTACATCGTCATGATCAGTTAATTCGCTTTCATTATATTGTATTGAAAAATAAAAATAAAATAAAATATCTACGACGGATAATTATATGATTCGGCTAATTTATAAATTATTCTACTTGAAAATAAATGCTACCGAAATCAAATTTTACACATTGAGAACACGAAATTGAAAAACTGAAGAGGTGCGGTTTTTTTTATTTAGAAAAATCGCAGCTGCAACAGAAAACAATCTTCTGTTTAGAAAAATAAAATTTGAACTGATCAAGACAATCTAAACTCGCTTGCATTCCCTTAAAAATATAAAATGGACAATGATGATCGGTCTCACCCAGCTGGCAACGCTGTATACGTAGCAGCGGCCGGATTGGCCATTGGGTTGCTGGCGGCCGCGGCCGCTGCATTGTACGCCCTGGCTGCGGCAGCCGTGTACGTGGCTGCGGCTACGTAGGACGCCTGTTGCGCCTGGGCCACCGCTGCGGCCGACGACAGAGCTGGAGTCCCTTGGGCTGCGGCTGCGGCCTTTAGCAGGGGCGACGCGGCTGCTGCTGCGGCAGCTACCTGTTTTCGGAACGATTAGTAAAATATCAAAGTAACAAAAATTGCAAGGCACACACAAGTGGGCACGTTATATACCAATATCAAACAAGCATTATTATAAATATATTGTTACATCATATCATATAAATATATGTATATATATATATATATAAATGTAAATTTTGTTTATTGAAGTAAATTGTTTGTTTTTTAATTTAATTTGCACCCCAGAACCATTTTAAAATATACACAAAAACAAAACCACGCAGTAATATGTATACGTATATGTATATGTATATGTATATATATATATTATATTATATTATATTATATATACATATATATGCTAATTATACTATAAAAAGTGAGTAAAATTAGTTTTACTTAAAAATACTGTAAAAAATAGGCGAGAACATGTAAGGGCTCAAAAAATAGAAACAAATTTAAAATTAAAAGAATGTAAATATTTTAATGGTTATCACATTTCAGAACAAAATGTGAAATGATAAAAACTACTGTCGACAATGAAGCGGCGACCTCGGTGGTTTTCAGCAATAGTGATCTAGTAAGAGAATAATATAAATCTAAAATTTGAATTGTAAAAGAATGTTACCATTGCATCTATGCCTACGACATATGCTCTAATACCGTGCTTTTCACATGAAAAATATGCATTGAAAAAATTGTAATCGAAATATCCTTCATAGGCATTTAGAAAAATAAATTACTTTGAAAACTTACTATGTGAGTTCACACAACAAAATAATAAACACTATTAATCATAATTACTTTTATATTTATCATGCAACAGTTAGCTGTACATCCAGCTAATATGTAGCACATTTAATACCCAACTAAAGAGAAATACATAAAAAATTGTCCAATACAAAAAAATAACGGCGGAAGTTTCTAGCAACACAAATAACCGAATGACATACGTTTTTATCATAACCGTTCCAGAAAAAATAAAATCACTACTTTGCAATAAAATGTATTACACATATGGTTTGTATTAAACATTATATACCTTCGCAATATGCCCTGTTTGATAATAAAAAATTTTTATTAAATAATTTTTTTGTATTACAAAAAAATTGTGTGAAACGCTACAAGCATAGCTTTTCCGTCTACTTTTCATCATATCCCTATTTTAAAACAGCCAATACACAATAAATAAATACACATAATGTAAAAGGATAAAGAAATAACATCCAACAGGCAACCCAAAATACAAATTTTAATTTATACGCACACTCATACAAATGTACTACACATTCTAAAAGTGTGCGTACATTTATTTTCAGGTTAAAAAAAGTCAACTAATAATCAGCAAAATTGATTTTCTCGTTAATATACGAAATAATAAATAAAATAGTTTTAACCTGTATAATAATAATTAGCAAGTGAGTATATGTGCTCATGTAATCATACATTTATTATAAGATATATTTTGTTCGTTACATGCAATAATAGTTTTAATAATGTAAGGTTTTTTTAGGCTGCATTTCACTAGAACATTTCTTACAAACAACTCCGCCACCGAAAAAAAAACAATAATAATAAATAGAAAAATACTCTAATAGAATATGTTGCACAGTCTTATGTTATAAACCAATCAAATAAGTCTAACGTAGAAATTAAAATACTCAACTGATACCAATATTACCACTGAGGTATAGCGACACATTTCCATATTAATCGTGTTGTTTGAATTATTTACAAATATCTTTAATCACCCTTTCATTCTAGAGACTAATAATATATTTTTAATGTAAATATGAAGTCAACACATATTTTCTAATTATATACGTAATGATGCATGTGTATCATGTTCAAATAAAATTTAACGATACTCGTGAAAGCAAATATTTTAAAAATGTTTTGATTAACTAATTAATTAATATTGTATTTAAAATAAACTTGTGATAAAATTGTAGTTTTCAACAAAATAATTATAAAAAAAATAATAATAACCCATTTAAGTACAAATAGATAAATTTCCGCCTAAATTTAAACTATACATCTAAAAAAAAAAAAACAACAACAACAAAAAATCACAGGACTCAAAGACTGTGCAAAAACAAAAAGTGTTAATTAATAATAATTAGCGCTCTACATTTTTTTTTAAGTATTATGTGTAACCGATTAGTATCAAATGTCCAGAACATTCCGAATAATCAGAATAAGTTGTTAATATACTGCATTAATATTATAAAAGGTAAGTACAAATATTAATTTGTAACCGCATGTAAAAATACAAATCTGATTAACAAGACACTGATTTCTCAGTGCGTCTACTACATAAGGTTATAAGCGGTGATGTCAAGAATAAAAAAGGCTGGCCATGCCATTCGTAATGTATGTTTTTTTTTTTAGGTACTTAAAAAACTCACGTTAAATCTCCCTTTTTTCAGGTTTTTTTGTAATCCGTTACACACATACGAATTTTTTCTAAAACGAATTTCAAGAAGGACGCTTGGAATTAATTTTTATACGTATAACACAGAATAATGAAAAACGAAAGGAACGCGTACACGAATTGAGAAAAAAAATCACTTGGTAGACCGAAATGTGTAACATTCAAAACAATCGAACCAACACGAAAATAAGAACAAATAGGATATCATAAGGAATATTTTGTGATAATACTATATGAATCATCATTTACCTCATTGACTGCTCCTGCCTGAAAAAGAAATACCAACACCAGTTCAACTAATTCTCATTTATAGGGACACCTTTTCAATAATATTACAAATATACACCAATTATGAACCTTAATTTAAAATATTTATAAGTAACTGACACGAAGTAGCAAATATAAACAATTGTATAATGAGCTACTGGAATCATTTGATAATATTAGTCATTATTATTTGTTAATCGATTTTATCAAAGAGAATTATACAAAAAATATCTAATTAATTATATAAATAATTAAAATTTACCTGTAACCTGTAGTTACTATCTGCAGCTTGGGCTGCCAGGAATGGATCATAATATACTCCACTGAAACATACATTACTGTTGATAAAAAAAAAAAATGTATTCATAATAACAGTTTTATTTATGCTAATCCTTATTTGATATGTAATTTAAAGAAAATCGTATTCTTTTCTACTGTAAATGTATTAAAACCTGTAGCTTCTCAAAGATGAAGCAGATTAATTTTTAAGAATCTTACATAGCTAAATGGATTATGGCTTTTATATTATATTGCGATTCAAGAGGGGTAAAATCATATAATATTAAAACAACTAGAATTATCTAAAAAAACAATTTGAAAAAAAAAAATTCAATCTTTATTAATTGAATAATTTTATTTATAAATCAATATAGTTAAAAATATTCTAAAAATAATAATTGTGGATAAAATCTGAATTAATCTGGATTAAAAGTTTGAAAAATTTTAAGGCAAACTTACGGGGCATAAGTACCAGGAGCTGCATTTATTGCTTGTAGTTGGTTAGGTGTAACAGCAATACTTGTAGCAGGTAACCTAGCAGCATTGAATCCAGAAGCATTTGCTGAAGAAAACCCTCCATTTGAAGCCGCGGCAACTGCGGCCATGGCTGCTGCATTTCGAACGGCATTAGCAGCTGCAACAGCACGACCACGCTGTATTGCTGCTCCTCTTAAAGCAGCAGCAGCAGCTAAATACAAAAATTCAATAATTTTTTGTTTTACTCATAAATAATTTACAATAATTCATTTTGATAGTCATGCTTTGAAAGTAAATAATCTACTTATTTAAGAATTATGTTTTTAAGTAGTTTTTTGCTGATATAAAATATTAAACATTCAGTGAGAATAAGAAAAATCTTGAAATTTTATTTTTGGTTAATATTAAAATTATACAGTAATGGTTAGTATATTTCTTATATATGTATGTTTTTTTAAACATGCTTTGGTAAAATAAAATTAACTACCCATTCAATCACACAAAAAATCAGATTTAATTTTTAATAAGTCCAATCACCAAATATGTTAGTTCATGCTATGTCTAAAATAAAAATAAAAACACAATGATTACTTACCCTCAGGCCACTGAACACAAACTGCAAACCACAATAAGAACAAACCAAAGGTTAGCTAATACTCAATTAATATATGATATTTACATATTTTAATGCAATAAAAAGAAGCATAGTTAAATATATCAAAATATATATTGATAGAGAAAGCAGGCAAGATAAATAGAATAATATATTCTAATATATAGTGTAAATATATCTATTAATTCAAAAAGATGCAAAACGCAACTGCAATTTAATCATTAGCAATAAACAAGTAAACTCTAATTTATTTGATTACGTAAAAATGAACACAATTCAATGGATTCCCATGATATATAATAATTTAATTATATATTTAAAAAAAATTCAATTAATTAGATACGAAATATAATAAAGTATAATAATGAAACAAAACTGACTATATTTTTAATACATTAAAATTAACATCTAAAAAAGCATGCACTAATTTTGCAAATAGTCTCTCACCAAGATTTGGCAATACTCCATTCCTAGAGAGTAATACTATTGAAATCAACCAAAGACAAAACAGTATTTAAATACCATATAAAGAAACCACTAGGTGTTACAGTTTTGAGTATAAAATTTAAAAACTGTGCTTTAATCTACCTCAATGAAGTATGAATTAAATAATATAAATACATGAATAATGCCTACAATGCCAATAAGCCATTTTACTTTAAAAGACAACTATTGACTCTTTTGATCAATTAGGGAAATGTTAATTTTAATAGTTTTTTAAGTATCAAGATAAAATATTGATCAAGTATAAATATTGCCATATGAGTACTTTAAGCAAATAATAGTGAGAAGCTGTTTCAATGAATATATTATGCAAATAAATTTTATTATAGGGCTTTTTGCTTTTATGTTATTTGTTATTAAATTATCTTTTAATTAAATATAAAAAAATGTTTTCTTAACTAATTAAAATTTTATAATTTTTACTCACCATTTGGTAATTGTAATGGAGCAGCTACTTTTTTTGTCTGAACTCTAGCTGTAGCATTGTTCACCTATATTTTTAATAAATTAAATAAATATTAAAAAAATTAAATTAAAATTTTAAAATTAAGAATAAATTATCAATATACAATAATGATATAAAAATTACATTATTTACTAACTTAAAACTATGAAAACATGTTATACTTAATGATATCTTATAACTAGAAGACAATAATTAAGATACCGAAACAGCGATAGGAATATTATACATCTATGAATTTTTAAAAAATACAAATTTCTTAATTGTAATTTCATTATTCACAATTGTATTTCACTACTTGTACAACTAACAATAACAGATAATTATGATAATATAGCTATGATTATTTCAGTATGATGAGCTCTACACGAACATACTTACTCATCCTAAATGACACATAAAAACTGGATCAATATTTCAAGGAGTTCACAATCTGGATAAATTGACTGGTCAGCAAAGAAATATCAAAATATCTGATGATCACTTTGAAACATAAAAAAAGTAAGGCTTGACATGAGACCTCTAAATTGTTTTTGTAACCTACAATCAACATTTGCCTTCGGAAATAATTGGATAATCAGGATTTTTTTTTGAGTATATAAATAAAAATGTTAATCAATATAATATTTCTCAAATGTACATAGGAAATTCTACATTTTTGTATGTAGGGGAATTAATTAAGAGGATTGAGACAAGACAAATTATATTTACGCCAGGCCCATATTTGTGACTGAAGCATCATGCAAATTACCATTCAATATATTTTTGAGCATCTTGATACTTGGTAGAAGTAAAATATTATCACAATGATTGAAAATATTGAGAACGATTAATACTCTATAAAGAAATTTTATTCTGAAGTTAACTACACTAAGAACACATTAATCGAATAATGCTAGTGATATCAAACTCACTAGTAATTAAAACTTCAGAATCATTCGCAAAATTGAGTGCCAGAAAAATAAACCGTGAGAGACCTTTCCAAGAAAAAGAAAGAAATATGAAGCTTTTTAATGTTATAAATAAATTTCTAAAAACAAATTTTTTTTTCACACACAACCCATGTCCATTATGTATTGATCATATTTTCTTATTCGCATGCATACATTATAAATTATTTATTTACCATTTATTGAATTCAAGACAATTAAATTAATAAATTTGAAAGTAGTTAATGCAAAGAAGGATTTAAAATTGAAATAACATGATATAAATTTTTATGAAATTGCAAAATAAAAGAATTTTAATAGGGAAAATTATAATAAAATAAATATAACTGAACTACTTTTTGTATATACTAGCATAGATTTTAGAAAAAATTATTAAAGAAACACATTAAAAAATATTAAAAATAAAAAAGTAATTAAAAATTAGCTTTTTTTTAAAAAAAAAAATTTATACATATATTATAAATATGTATATAATTAAAAAAAAATTCTGACTTGACTTTTAAGTATTTCAAAAAAAAAGATAAATAAATCATTATCATTTAAATTACATATTTTTAATGTTAAAATATGATAAAAATACTAAGTTATTTTTTCATGAAGAAAATTAGTGGTTACATAATATTTAGCATAATTAATAAAAAATGAAATATTAGCCAATTGTTAAATAATATACAAGTGAATAAAATAGGCACGATATTAAAGCATTAAACCTAATTTAATTGACATAGTACATAATTAAATACAAATGAAATAGATAGTGTCTGCATTAAAAAAAAAAATACATAAATTTCAAATAAGGAATAGAAAATTTATTTCATACACAATATGATTAATAATTGAATGTAATTTATAGATTAATAAATTTTTGTTTTACAGTATCATTTTCATATATTATTTATAATTGAATGCAGACAAAGAATCTAGTACACATTACAATATAAAAAATAGTGTAATACTTATATCGCTTGAAGTGGCATAACCAAGCATTCAACTTTACCAAGACTTATGAAAATTATATTCAACATTTACATATAATGACACCCTGTTATAACTTCTAGTTTTTATAATATATCATTCAAGTACCATCAATACCAAACTAATTCAATATAATTTTAAGGTATAATGTAAATAATTATATAATGACAAATTTACATCTCACAAAAAAGTTGAGAAAAAAATACTACATACAATTTTAATTAAAATTCAAGTATTTTAATTGGTGCAGAAATACTAGATTTTTTTAATAATATGATATTGATGGTTCAGAATGAAACTGAAAACATCAAGCAATGTCAAAATTATGATTTTTACAATGGTTTAAAAATTTTAAGACTCTACATAGTGATTAGTCTTAACTCTATGTAGTATGTGTAAAATTATATAAATTTTAAGTAAAATTATGTTTATAATAATAATAATATATAGCATAAATATTTGCATGCAAACCTCTATTTTTCTGCCTTCAACAACTGTTCCGTGAAGATGTTCGCGAGCCTCATCAGCGTCAGCACTATTCCCAAACGTTACAAAACCGAATCCCTGCATGCAACACACACAACAAAACACATGCAAATAAACAAACTCAACAAAAATGAAATTATTATTTTTATTTCTAATAATAATTTTTAATTTTAAATATAAAATAACTTTTTATATCTTTGAAGAGTAATTTTTTTATTTTTTTTTAGTTTAATTTGTTTGGGTAAGCGAACATGACGTTCACAGTTATCTATAAATAATAGTATAAAGTATGTATAAATTCTAAGTTAGTTTAGCATTCATTACGTAGCGTTCACAAGATTGTGGAACTTAAAGCATTTACAGTTTTTATTAGCGTTATTGTGCTATTAATTATGTGTCAATAATTAACTAGTGTTACATATGTTGCGCTACTTATAGCTTTGTGTAAATATTCCTAAAATAATTTAAAAATGGAAATGGAATATGTATTGAAAAACAGGAATATGGAACTTAAATTATGTTATTTTTATTATTATATAAATATAAAATAAATATTAATTATTTTTACATATTTATTTAATTTAAATTAAAATTGTGTTTATTAAATTTAATTTCATATTTTTTTAGTTATAATTTTTTATGTATTTTATTAAAGAAATTTACTTCAGATAATAAAAAGTGATTTAATTATCATGAACCACTTGATTAATCGAAAAATGAAAATATTATTAATAATTTTATTATTCGAATCTTTTAATTCAATGTTTTTCTCAATGTGTCAATTATAAAAAATTTTAAGTTCATTTCTTATCATTATCTAATAAATAAGCTAATTAATTAGAGATATTTTCATTTGAAAAATTTAAGTTGACACCCTTATAAGATTATGGGATGAACGTGAAAAAAAACATTGAACTAAAAGAAGCTAATAAAAATAAATGTTATTAATATTATTCTATTTTTTTGATTAATTAAATGATTCTTTAAAAGTGAATCATCCTTTATATAGTGTTCAGTAAGTAAGGAAACAGGTTTCTATTGTTCTCATTGTTAATAACAATTTACCTGTTTTCTTAATTACTGAATACCCTAAATATATTTTTAAAAAAACCCAGATCTTTTATGAACAGAAAAAATGTTGACACCATTTTAATAATTTTTTTTAATTAATTTTATGTGGGCATAAACTTTTACAAACATTTTTTTGCTCAGTTATAATTTTATTTAACATAAGTTTTATTTTTTTATTCTAATTATTATTACAGTATATTCATAATTTTATTAAATAAGTTATTAAGTTGTCAAAAAAGCATAAAAGATTTTTTTATTAAATATTATGTTTTGAAAATATATGATACATTGTGATATTTATTACAAAATTTAAAACAATTATAAATTACCTTTGATCCTCGCTCATTAAAAATAATTTCAACATCTAATATTGGTCCAAATTGCTGAAAAATAATATTAAAGAAAATTGTTAATTCGTTGAAAGTTAAATTAATAAAGTATTTTACATTATATTATAAGTTTTACTCTATTCTAGATAATTTAACGTCTGTAATACAGCATTAAATTAATTGAACACAAATTACACACGATAAGTTTTGCTTGATATAATATTTAAAAAGATTGTATAACATATAAGTTAACATATTTACACAATATTCGACTATAACAAGCTATTAAATTAGAATTATTATTATTTAATTACAGTTTAGTAAGCAGTCTTTTAAAGAAATAAAACTTATACAAGCAATAAACTTATTATTGTAATAATTTTTTAAAAACTAAATATTAATTAATTACCCCAAACATAGCACGCAAGTCAGGCTCTCTAAATCTAAAAGGTATATTTGATACATGAAGTCTCTTTGACTGAATATTTTTGTCTTCACTAGATGAACAGGGGGACCCAGCGCCAACATTGGTAACATTTGTTGGTGAGGCTATAGATACTGACACTGGTGTAGTCAACACATTTGTGGCATTAGTACATTCCGACTAAACATTATAAAAGTAGATAAATAACAAGTGATCTCACTAATAAAAATTATAACAAATAACAATGGGCACACTAAAGCGTGAGTAAAAATGTTTAATAATATTATAGCTGTAAATGATATCTATAATAATTACCGGTTGTGATGTAGTCGTGACTGTAGTTGGTTGAGACTCTGACTTTATGAGCCCTGTAACTATTGGTTGATGCTGCAACTGCTGTTGCTGCTGTTGTTGTTGTTGTTGGTGTTGTTGCTGCTGCTGCTGCTGTTGTTGTTGCTGTTGATGGTGTTGTTGTGAGGCTGCAATAGATGCAATGAGACTAGCTGGTGGTGAATAAGCAGTTGGAGGTGGGGGAGGGTCACTTTCCACAGTTACTGATGGAAGAGATACTGGTGTAGGGGGTGCAGTGACCGTAGCAGGCATCAGGGTTGGAGGCTGAGGATTGGCCATTTTTAATGTCATTGCAGCCATTTGGGCAGGTTGTTGCATGGGAAATGCACCCGATGCAGCAGCCAGCGAGGCATAAGGATCTATACCACCTTGCACCATTTGCTGCAAACAAAAATATTTTTTATGAATTTACTATTTAATTTTGAATTACATTTTGTATTAAATAAAAACTACAACATTTTATGACTTAAACTTAAAAAAAAAATTGTTTTAGTTATAGTATTCAGAAATATATTTAACATATTAAATTTGTCATGTGTCCTGAACGTGTCATCGTAATTTATTATGTAAATCCAAAAAAAAAAAAAGCCGTCCCTTTTTTTAGTTGGTAAAAATGAAGAATGAGTTTTATAATAATGCATTATAAATAAAAATATAAGTGATTTTAAACGAATTTTTGTTTTTCTCCGCATACATCTATCAAGTTTAGCCTCATAAGTATGATGTAATTTTGAACATTTTCGGCGGTGAGCTCAGATTCCGTTTAACGTGCCTGTAAGTGGATCGATATTAAACAGACAAACTTAATGAAAGATATTACAGTAAATTTTTTAGAATAATTGGAGAAAAAAACGACTTTCAAAAATAAACTATACGCAATAATATCATCCGTTTTGCCCATTTTCGATAGGTTAGCCTACGAACATTTTAGAGATCAGAAGTAGATAACAGGCGAGTACAGAACTGGCTGAACAAGTGTAGAGAAACGGCGACCTTAAATGCCTATTCTGAACTCGCAGAGTAATAATTGTGCTATCACAATTCCGGTTTTTTTTTTCATCGTACGCCGGCGGCACATTAATTGTAGTTTTTCTCTGCTGTTTGATACACTTTAGGAAGCACCGGAGAGGTAATTGTCAGCTGTACGTTTTGCAGTACCAGCGAAATCAACTTCGAGTTATATTTAAGTAAAATAAGCGGGCGTTTCTCTAGCCGCGTGTCGACAGCCCGAAATTTCACCGAAAACACAGCCGTTGCATAATGGAATTTATTTAATTTTCTTTTAACTAACATACGGTTATTATATATTATTATTACACTCGGAGACGATTGCCATATACGATGACACAAAAACAAACGCACATACGCGTGTGCCGCGTAGAAAGCTATGCGCGTTTGTTGCTCGTGACGGCCGGGGAGGAGTACGTAAATTCGCACACGTTATTTACATAACGTTGTATTTTGTTTTCGATTATTAATAATAATGATCGTCCTATGACAACTTTGGTTACGATTGTTTTTCGATCGAACAGCATATATTTTCACAGCGCACGACTGCCGGGACGTGGGAAATATGTGGCGTAGAAACTAGAAAGGCGCACACGAGATGATTTTGTGTTTGTTTTTAAATAATATGTATGAACGCGATTTGTTCGAAGCACAACTCGTGCGTAAATCACGGAGAAAACAAACGAAGAGTGGCCAAGCTTCACGGTGGATCCATCAACTCCGGTCTAATGAGGATGTGCACTGAACACCACAATGTTGTATTGAAGCGGACGTCGATTTGGAGGACAGCCTGGAGGGGCGGAGGAAGGATGTGCCCATTGTTGTCGACATTAGAGTTTTGCTTCTCCTGGGTGATAAAATTAGGACGGAAAAAAAAATCACAATGAAAATACCCCCTTACTACACGAGCGGGTTTAAGTACACGATTCGTACATCACGCCACAGCACGTCCGCCAAGTGGTTACATCCAATGGTGTACAGAGGGAAAAAACCGTCACACACGTAGGAGATACTATATATTGCGGTGCGCGTACGGGGGAACAGGAGTGAATTATTTTAGAATTGAGTTAAATTGATGTCTATTGTGTCACCGACGCCGACGTTAACGACTAATTTACTATCGTTTGGGAATGACGTGCGGACAGACACAATAATACCACTGTGAATGTACACGCCCGTGTAAGTGAAGAGCTGGCAAAAGCTGCGGACGTTAAGATTTGTTGTAGTCGAGTTCTAAATTTAGACCGAATTTATAGTTCGCAAACTTCAAACCGACCAATTATTCGACGTGTCATTGTTTCAGCCTGTTCAACGTTGCCGGCTCTCCCAGCGGGACGAATAATAAAACATTTTTCTACGACATAATAACAGTTAAATAGTTTTCCCGTGCCCGACTTTCAAATAACCGACTAGCACACACAGTGAAAAAATATTATTCTAGAAGATTTTTCATTTTATTTTTGCTCGTTTTAGCCCCAACTACTTGGGGTCGGCTAAATGATTTTTTATAAAATAATTTTTAATCGAATACATATACATGTTTCATATTTAAATAGACAGTTTCGACCAATTTTAATAAAATTTATAACAACACAGAATATTTATTATAAACAATATTCAAGGATAACGTATGTGTATTTGTCTTGGAGTTGACGGAAATATTACCTAGTAGTTATTTTAAACCAAACCTGTTGAGATAACAAGACTTAATACAGAATAATAAAAATACAAAATTTTTAGTTTCAAAAACCTATCACACCGGTTCCGTGACCACCTCTGGGCCGCGGATTCAAAATTAATTCTCAAAGCAACCATCAATCCTTCGGCTATGGACACCGATGAGTTATAATACGTGCATAGAAATATCTCATAATATCTTATACCACTCCCATAGAATTTCACACTCGTTTTACTCGATTTTTTTTTTTTTTTTACATTCTACGAAAGTAATCACTTAATCGCTGCCTATTCGAAGTCATCTGAACAGAATAACCAAGCGAGAACAGATTACACAAAAACTAATAATCACGTACATGCAAATGGCGTAGATCAAAAAGTGGAAAATTAAACGTTTTTTTCGAAAGTGTATTTACGTGCATTTTTGAAAAATATTACAATAAAAGTAAAGTCTAAGCTAAAAGTAAAAAATGTTTTTGAACTTTTCATACGCTAATCTTAAGTAAATACACTTTTGAAATGACTTTCTCGTTTTCACACTAATTGTAATGTTTTGTTCAACAGTGTTAACGATGGAATCGAGTTTAGATAGATAAAAAAAAAACAAAAACTACGAAGGCGTTTAAAGTATTTTACATATTTTATCACTTCTCTCTGATGGACTTCGAACCGCATAGAATTCCCGACAAAGACTTGTCTATTAGAAATATTACATAATAACTCAGTGATAACTACTAAGTTTAACGTAAGACGAACGTTGGAACTGCCAAAGGTCATTGTGCCCGCGATAACAACCATTTACACGGAATTACTGTTGGCTACGCGACCTTTGATAACAATTCCGTTCTATTTTATATCTGTTTCATAACTTATGTAGGCCGTCATACTATGAAAAAATGACGACATCCAGAACAAATAGATCACGATAACTCATTTAAAGGGACCCCCGATGATCACAAGTTAAATGCGACGTGTGTTATGTTTAAAAGTAATTTGTTCTATAGAATAATTTTACTGGGAGTTTCATAGACAATAATTGTGTAACTTGGTTCATTACAACGAGCGAGTGTTTTTAGTAAAACCTAGACATTTTACAACCATTTTACAACAAATTTATTACTTTTTAATAGGCCAAGCTTTGAAGATCCGAGGAAGACTAGTAGAACCCCCCAAGGTAACTTAATAAACACTGTAGACACACGTTTGTCCGGTTTCCTTAAAATTCATAGCAACGCGTTTTGTTTTCGCGCGTGTATTCTAATTACCTGACATATTTTGAATTATTCGACAACATTAAAGAACTCCCACGCGTCTCACCGTTGTTATGTCGTCACCGAGAGCCTATGACTGACGTTAAGAATAATAGCACTACTTAAGGTCTGTGCTACCGATGGAGCCCACACTCGTTAAAAACCGACTGCAAAGAAAACCGGGGTAGTAGTAATAGTACACATCAGTAGTGAACCAACGCGATAGAGGACTACTTGATTTACCTACACATGTGGCAACGGTCGGGCGTCAGTAAATAGTAAACGCATATAAACACAAAATAAGCAATTATTTAGCGGCGGCGGCGGCACGCGGCCGTAAATTCTAAAAACTCAATTAAGTAAAACTATAAAACCGTATTAGCCGCTAAACCGATACTTTTTTGCGGTTTCGCGGTGTCGACAAGACGAAATTAAGGCGATACAAAACCAACGGCTATTTTCAAACTGTTGCTGCGGATTTCGTGTAGGGAAGCTTTTAGGTTTCCGTCAAACAATACATTTGTAGGGAACATCAACAGGTCAATAACACGTTGGGACAATTTGGTAGGCAAACGATGTCTGTTGCTATCTCACACCAGTGTTACTTCGCCCTCAAATGAGAAATTGAGCCTTGACCACAACGAGATAGGATACAATCATAGTGTTGCTGTGTAATTACACAGAGAATATGGGGAGAGGTACACGCACAAAGGGGAAACAGGCACATGCATGATATTTCATCAGCAGGCTCAAGGCGCGACCACAGCATAGCAACTAGACACGTCCTTGGCTCAATTAAGCAGTTTTCTCCGAATTAATCAGTTTTTTTTTTTTTTTAATATCATCATAAATACCTTTTCTAGAAATTCACTGGATTAACACTGAAAACAAACGAACCGGACACGAGCCGTAACTACAATACAAGTAGCGCACGGTTCGTGGACTATGACAGGAAGAAATTATTATGGCTCTGATACAACTAAGATGTTCAGAATACATTAACCACCGTGCAATGTAAATGCACAATTTATTTAATTTTTTTTTATATACTTGATTATCGTATCGTATAATTGCAATTCAAGAGAAAATAGACAGCGGTTCAATAACGAAACGAGTATGGTGTAGATGATTGTGATAATCATAATACAAATGATAATGAAATCATAATGAACGTAGTTGTATATTCTTTTTTTTTTTGTTAGTAATAATTTAGTTAATTCGTTTAATCATTAAGGTAGCCAAGATGTCTACCGAAGGTTGCGGTAAGTAATTTTTGCAACAGTGTTGCAGAGTTAACAGACAGCCTTGGGCGAGTAATTTGTGGTTTGATACTGCCGAATGACAAAGAGATGATGTTGTCGTATTTTTATTATCGATCCACATTTTCTGCGTTTACGGGGAGGGGGGGGGG